TGATGCTCATCGGTCTGACAGCAACACCTACTTTCCGTCCGGCTGTCGGTTTGAATTAAATATTCTCCAAAATAATTGCTCAAGCAAAAGGTTTCTCAGCCAGATGATCCATCATACTCGATGTCTCAACAAAGCTTGCTCAAATCTTGAGTATGATTGATAAAAAAATTGCTTGCTCCTCGATCATCCAGGCATAAATCATCTCTGCATTTACATTCTTCAAGAATGCCTGTGACCGCTAAGGTTTCATGTTTGTCTCGAGATCAAGGTTGAAGTTGCCATTTTTCGCTAAAAAGCCAGCAAAGTGATCTGATACCTCATCTCGACAACAACACAACGTAATCTCTGTAAAATGTTTGAATCTGTGTGAGCAGAGCAACTCGATTTTAGTTACAAAAAGTTTCTGAAAAACCACTCTGGATCATGGCAAAGAAGACGAGTTGATGAAAGAAAAGAATTAGAACATGGAGTTCCCCTCCAATTCTGCTATTGGATGATATGCTCGAGTGCTTTCCACAGGACATTCTTGAACTTTTTGGTATCAAGCTTCACGTTCTGTTTATCCATGAATGTAGACCTCACGACATCAGCTCCTTGCTTGTGGAAGGAGAGGGGATCCTTGAACACGGGGTGGTTCTTCGGGTACTGCTTTCTCAGAGTGCTCTCCTTGATGCTTATACTGTACTGCACATAGTTCAGCCCCATATCCTTGGCTGGATCTCCAAAATCCAGCGTAGATATCCATTCCAAGCCTCCCCATGGCACGACCTGTATGATGGTTGCATTGGGCGGCAGGAACACCAAACTGGTGAGCCCGGATCCATGCACTCCGACCATCACGTCCACCGAGTTCACCAGCCTTGCAAGCTGAGCTACGTCGCCTCCCGCCTCTCCATCATTGATGACCGCTTCGAAGCCCAACTGCTCCGCCAGCCGAGTTATCTCGGAGAGATTCACGAACGCCCGCGATTGCTTCCTTGCAATGATCAGTATCCGCGGCCGCTTTCCGGCGAGATCCTCGATGTTGGACATCGTTTCCCTCTCCAACGAGAAGGTGTTCCTGATGAACTTGCCGAAGTCAACCATGGAATAGCCATTGGGAGCTCTAGCGGGATCGATGCTTAGCTCCTTGTGAGCTCGAAGTCCCACGATCACCCTGCTGAAACAATGCACGCCCTTGTCCTTGTCGAAATCGATCACCGGGTACTTGGAGAGCTGCTTAAACACGAGGAGGTACTTGTAGATCCACCAGGGATTCATGTCGCTTACGACGAACTGAACCTCGCCGTCGAACGGACGCGAGGTTAGGAAGAGCGGGATGAGCACGTCGGTGAAATCGTGGAAGAGGTTGCCGGTGTAGCCGCCGGCCGAGAAAACGATCGCAGGGACGTCGTGGTTGACGGTGCATTCAGGTGCTGCAGTGCTATATTTCACGGCCAACTCCCGGACGCGACTGGATGCGGCTTCGTCCCCCTTGCGAGCGTATGGACGAAAACGGAACACCTCATTTCTCCCCGGAGATTCCACGAAGATGACATCCGAAGAATTCCCAGGGATTCTGATGTCGCCGGACATCTCGCAGATATCCACTCGAGGGTCCGAAAACTCACACGACAGCTTCTTCTCCACATCCTTGATTTCCTGGACTGCATCAGGCAACACGGTGTTGTAATGTCGAGAAAACGCTGTGTTCTGCTTCGGATTTGATGTCAGTGGTGATCGACGATCGACATACCCGGTTGGTCGGGAGCGGTCTTGTTTTCCACCTGAACATTATCGTTGATGGTGTAATTGGAAACCGTCGGCAGCGTCATTCGATTGTGCGGTTCGTCTCGGTCGGAACTCCCATCGTTCTTGGTCCTGTCCTCCTCCGTCTCACTTGTGCTCTCTGCAACAAGTTGAGCAAAAGCTTTAGCTGCCTCAGATCCGTCAAACCAAATCTAGACCTTCCCCATGTCGGTTCTCAGCTCTCGGTGATGATGGACATACCCAGTACTTCATCGATGTCCGTCTTGTCTTCCTCGATTGGATCAGCAACGGCGCCGTTATTTTTGACCTGGAGATTCTCCTCTGCATTCTTTTCTGAAAGACGAAGCAAATCTTCACTAGATTGCATAAAAGCTCAAAAATCAAACTACACTGTTCTAAACTCAATCTCAAATAGAAACCAGACAGTCCTAGACATCAGAGAAACTCAGGATGCTTCACCAACTAAACCTCTATTTTCCTCTTTCTTCCGGTGTTCTGTGGAGTCCAACCCAAAAAAGGAGCTGAGCTGAGCCAGATCTATCGATCTGGCGAAAGATGCAAACTGAAACAGATGCTCACCTGATTGCTGAGTAGTTTGCTCATCTTCTCTCATGAAGGGGGCCGAATAAGGTGAAGAGTCCGCTGCTTTCTTTGGCTCCACATCTGGGAAGCGAAAGATTACGACTCTTAAAAGATGATCTCACAAGCATAAAATCTCTGGCTACAATCATAGCTGTTCGGATCGAACACCAAAAACATCCATGAATTACAGATTCAAGCCCGGGGGGTGCACCTGATTTCTTCGGACGCAACCTTGAACTGACTGCAACCCCGGTCAAACATATCATTTTTAGCATCAGAATTTGCAGGAATCCAAGCCGATGAACCCAAAAAAAACCAGTGGACAGAGAACAAAAACAAGATCGAAGGAACTCACGGGAAGGAAAAACGAGAGGCCTCGACACCACTATGAAGGTCATGGAGACCAGAAAGCACCCTATGACGAGCACCACGAACCGGAATCTTTGGGACTGGCCGGCGTTCCGGAACATCTTCAACTTGGCCGCCATCCTCACAGGCGGTACCGGCCTCGATCCTCCACTCTTCAAGATGATATATGGCAGAGTTTTCTTTGTGCAGACAGGCCAATCTCTATCCACTCACATGGAGCCTGAAAGCCGCTTCCTGCCAGCCTCAATGACATGAGTAGATTACAAGAAACCATCTAACTATTTTACATGTGTTGTTTATGTCATGTCTGCAGTAGTTGGTAAAACTTGGCCGTGGCTGCGGTTGACGAACTTGGCAATCTCACCTTCTTGCCTTCTTCCCGAGACATGGAATTGGTCCAAAGTTCGACTGAAGCAAGTTGGGTCCGCTAAAGCAGTTGGGGGCATAACCGAGCTTTTCATCTCGGCAAGAAAAGCATAAAAATGGGAATACGTGATAGGGAAGATGGCCTCCCACCGGCTGCCTTGACTTGGTCTGGAGCTCTGCACCCTGTTTAATATCAAAACAAATCTCCATGATCCACTGTAGCATCTAATCCTCTACTTGGAAGGCCATCATTTTGACTAGCAAGCTATCAAAGATTCTGCATGGATGAATGAATAATTCTTGGGAAAACAAAAGATGAAGCGAAAAAGAAAGCAGAAAATTTGTGGGATGTTTTGGTTTGTGATTTGTTATACAGATTGAATGTTTATTTCTTATTCCTCTTTATCTTTTTTTCTGATAACAAAATTCTTATCTCAAATGCCATGGAAGCGTATTTAGCAGAACAAGCCAACAGTGCTCTAGTAGTGGATTGGTTCCTTCTTCCTTTCCCCACTATCATTCAAGTATTTCTCCTTTATGGTTAGTGCCTATCCGTTTCTCCCACTCCGATGCCAATGATATTTAATGTGGCACATCCGAAGGAACACTTCATTGTTTTCCACCAGAAACTTGTAATCATCCAGAAGGATTTGTCAATAGGAATCGGATTGCACTGTTGGAGACATGAGGAAGAGGCCTCAGTAAAACGTAGATTGCACACACACGAAAAGTTTGAACTTACTTCTGTCTTGCTTTGATGTCGCTGCCATTTGTGTCCTCCCACAACATAAAGGCAGCCACAACGCTCCTGCCGAAGGCAAAGGCATAGAATAATGCTGAGATGAACAACCAAAGCAAAAGAGACGCCTTGGGAGGTTGCAGTCCATGCTTTTAGAACAACTTGGGACATGCTCTTTCACCGGCAACTTTTAGAGGTTATCTCTCTGCTTTTGGGAGTGCTTTAAGACCATTATTTTGTACGGGGCAATGTGCAGACTGCACCACCACAAACCACAGCAAGGACACCGCCGTTGAAGCTGGTTGAACACATGTAGGTCCATCATATTAGGTCTTTGGGAAACCAAATCACCACTGAAGCTTCTCTTGGATGGCTCAATCAACCCAAACAAAATCAACTTCTTAATATTTCTTGTGTATTTTATAAGTTCCATACATTATTATGAGCTTTAAGTTTCTAAAATGTGGTGTTATGTGCCTTTTTCCTTCTCTTCTTAATGGTGGTGTTATATTTGTTTGTCATCAGAGCAGGTTGACCAAGTGTTGCATTAGGAAGGGTACTTACTGAGCTTTTTAGATGCAGGATGGTACTTTGAAGGGTGGCAATTAACATCAAAAGTAAAGTTGGAAGATGGTGAATTTTGGGGTGCATCTCATGTTGAGATAGTCAACCTCTGTCTGTGTCTTGGAGCCTCTGAACACACACAAATTTGTGTGCCAAACTCCCATACTCAGTTTGATCCACAGGTCTTTGTTATTTCATCATCAGATAGTTAGCGCATCGTACATACTTCAAAAAGTTTCATGATCCAAAAACTTTGTACTTCTTAACATGGAGTGTATGAGAGTATTCTCCTATTTATGCTTCTTAATATTTGTTTGTCCTTATCATGAACAGGTCTTATTTACTTTTCCTTTCTTTTCGGTAGAAGCAAAGTTGGTTGTGACTCGACAACAATTGAGCACCAACCCACCAAGAACAAGCCTTCGTGTTCAAGAACATGTGCAACAGCTCCTCAACTACCATGCTGAAGGGAACTTCTTTGACAACCAAGTATAAATTGTAGAAAATTTGCAGGACTTTCTATTTCCTTTTCTGTGAGCAAATCATTGTCACTGGTAGCTGCAATTTATACATCACTGATTAATTCTGAGCGAAGCAAAGGCATTGGACCGATATCGAATTGAAAGCAAATTTTATGAACCCAATCATTCATCTCAAAAGCGAAAATGATATTTTCCAAAGCAGAAACCGACTGACGAACCGACCGAAAACCAATAGGTAAATAGTTAAAGACATGAAAATCTTATTGTTGAGGAAAAGCGGGTGGTCGAAAAGCATTTGTGAGGAAAGTAAATCTTGAGCTGATCCTGTCACCTGAATCACAAGAACTCATAAAATTCAACCTTCTTTTCCTGTGACAGCAGTGTGGGCAGGTGGGAGATCCATGCATCATCCATGGCTGTTCAACACAAAATATCAAATGTCATGAACCAAACCCCACCTCTCACCATGTAGTTGCCAGCTCTGTTATTATCAATACCCAGTAAAGCACATGCAGTGAAGTGCTTGTGTTGTTTTCCTCAAGGCTTTGCCTACTGCCTGGGGTTTCCCCAAGAGAGTCATGTGAAATATTAATATGAGACGTGCATGCTATCATCACAAGGAAACATAGTAGATAAGTTTATTTAATGCTTTCACCATAACCATAACTGACCTGCACCCACCAATCCTGACGTTGGCATCGAAGCAGTGAATTGGCCCACATGATTTCCCATGGGGGCTTCAGAATTCTAACTTTTGCACCATCCTTGTTGAATTGCCTGCCCAGCATCTTGGATTACATGTTTTTTCTCAATCAATTTAAACCATCTAGCTAATTCTTTGGAGCATGAGCTTGTCTGTCATATCGATTAGCTGTAGATTAGACCAAGTCATCATCAACATGACACCTGGTTTTTTTTTTCATGAACCATCTAATTAAAAAAAATATGGATATGAAACTATTGATTTCATTGGACCTACCAAATCAGGTCATGCGTGTCAAAAATGTTGATCTTTTTTCCATATGCTCACTCATGTACATATTAAATGAGAAAACAAAAAAAAAGAAAAAGAAAACCTTGCCGAGTGCCAAGTCATTTAGAATGATACAAACAAAAGCCACACAATCATTAAACATCAAGTATTTGAGTTGCTATGGCCTTCGCAAAAACAAAGAGTTGTAAAAGATATGTTCAGGCTAGGTTTAGGCAGCCAGTGGAAATGATCAGGCTTCCGTGGTGTGCCATACTCGGGTTGTGCACCAATTTGAAATCAAATGGATCTGCCGGGTTCATGTAAAATAGAATTATATGCACTTTGATACGTGGTAAAAAGAGGTCAGGTTGGATATGTTTCTTGCTTCGGCGTCCCTAATCAATCAACAACCTACTAAAGCGTTGAGTTCTCAGCTGCTGGACAAAATATTCAGCTGTTTGGCCAGGTGACATCATTTGCCAATTACCCAAGTTTGACCTGACTCAGCCTCATTAGAACAGTCAAAACTTCAGACAAAGTGCTAAAACTTTATCTAATTAAGATCATCGCCTTGGTTTATCTAACAAGATTAAAGAAGGGGTGAAAACAAGTAAGAACCCCTTTGAGTCCATGACTTAAAAACCTGCCTTCCATGGGGTTCAAAGGCTATCTTCAAAAAAACCATGATTGATAATTTGTACTACATAAGACAGGCTAACAACATTGGTTTAGGAGTCCCACCATGAGACACAAATAATGATCATCTACCCTTGTCCTCAAGTTGCAGCTACAAATCAATGCCACATGATTAGCATTTCAGGCTGGGGACTGCCAAATTCACCACAATCGTGCAGCCCTAAATGTAGGTGGTGGATCTCAAAGGGTCCTTGATCCATGCATACTTTAATCATTTACATCAGTTGCATACCAATGACAGAAATCAGAAACCAAGTGCCATGATACAACCAACAAAAGGGCTCTTTGTCGTTCAGTGCATTACTCATTCACAAAAAGTAACAAAGTAATGGCAAAAGGTCACTTAAAGCTAGGGCCTACCAAGTGAAAAATCAGTGAAATCAGGTAATTTACGCTTTAAAATCTTGTACAGTTTCATACTGACAAACCAAAAATCATGCAAACACTATCTTTAGGATGGCTGCTGTTTTCTTGTGATAATATGCTTGTTGTACATGTGGGTTTCTTTAAGTTAGCATGGGCAGAAAAGGAAGGGAAATCTCATATATTTTTATTGAATTCTTATTCAGGGATGATGTTTAACTCTTTTTCTTCCCCTCAAGACTGTTAATAGTTCCATGGAACTCAATTTTTACTAGGTGAGCAATGAATAAACTCCACATTTAAAACTTGACCTCTAAAAAATTTTCCTTTATGAAGTAACCAAATAGTGAAAAAAGGCTCTTAAGATATGAAACGTTTATTGTGCAGTTAATATACTCTTTTTAGGAAAAGGTAGGAGAAATCCCAACAAAACTAGTAGCTTAGAACCAAGCTTGCCACAGTTTAGAATGCAAATTGTCAGTAGCCAGGGCATAAGTCAGAGATGTCACAAAACACTTCCATGGAATGTAACATTTAATTATTTCTGGAAAAGAATGCAGAACCGAATATGTATTTTGATACTTACATACCTGACAATGTTTCAACAAGAAAGCAATGTGAGCCATATCAACATTATAGTATCTCCTATCTCACTTCGAAACAGCTAGTATAAATGAAGAAATCAACCAGCAACTTGTCACCTTTCGCTAAGAACTGAATGCATGGTAATGAAACCTGCTCACTGATGATAAGCAGATAAATTCATCTGTACTGCTGCTCACGGAGAAGTTGAAGAGCATGTTCCAGGACAGACCTAAACTTCCTCACATCAAGCTTCACATTCTGCTCAACCAGGAAAATCCTGGAAAATGTATCCCATCCTTGATGGTGAAGCGACATTGGGTCTTTGAACACAGCATGGTCTCTTGGATACAACTCCGACAGAGTAGTCTCTTCCTCATTGATACTGTATTCCAAATAGTGCAGTTTCATTTGCCTGGAAGGATCTCTGAAGTAATTCCCAGCTATCCAATCTAGATTGCCCCAAGGGACTACTTGGATCACCACAGAGTGTGTTGGAAGGAAGACGATATTAGTAAGTCCTGATCCGTGAACACCCATCATCACATCGCATGAGTTCACCACCTGCGAAAATCTAGTAATGTTGGCCTCTGCCTCAGTGACCACTGCATTGAAGCCCACCTTCTTAGCCATACGAACTATCTCCTTTACATTTGTGAATTTTCGGGTTGCCTTCCTTGTTACGATCAATATCCTTGGCTTCTTACCAGCTTGTTCACCTGGCCGCACTGGATGATCTCTCTTCAGTGAGTAAGCACTTCTTGTGAACTTGGTGAAGTCGGCCATGGTATAACCATAAGGATCTTTCGAGGGGTTGATTGTAAAGTCACCTTGGTCGCACCGGAGTCCAAGAGTCACTTGCTTGAAGCAATGCACTCTATCATCATTGTCATAGTCGATGATTTTGTACCGTGAGAGCTTCTCAAAGTATTTGTGGTACTTGTTGATCCACAACGGTTTGATGTTCGCTATGAGAAATTGGACCTCGCCTTCAAAATGGTACGAAGTCTCGAAGAGAGGAACCAACACATCAGCAAAGTCATGAAAGAAATTTCCAGTCCATCCACCAATTGCAAAGACCAAAGCTGGGACAGTATGATTAACATCACAGTGTTTATCTTCTCCATGACTCTTCACTAGTTTCATCGTTACCTCCCGAACTTTAGCACCTGAGCCTTTGTCCCACTTACGAGCATAAGGTTTGATGGTCCAAGATTCACCTGTTTCTCTGTTGCTGAATTCAGAGTTTGCAACATATATCATGCGGGTATCCTTGCCGATAATTCTAACATCTCCATCTGCTTCACAGATATCTGATTTTGTGTTTGAAAGATCACATATTGGTTTCCTCCCAGGCTTTACATTATCACGTCTTTCTTCTTCATTAAAAACTGAAGTTTTTAATCAGGAAAAAAAATGGTGTCAAACAGAGCTCAATTTAGCTCCCCTCTTTTAGAGGAATGCCTAAAGAGTGTGGATGGTTCGATTTAGTCAAATTTGAAAGGTTGACACGCTACCTAATTCATCTGAGCTAGCCATCACTCTTGTCGGATCTTGATCAACAACGGTTGAAGAATTCTTAACCACCATCCTACCGTGACCCGTCTCACACTGACCATCTTTCAGCTCACAAGCCAGGCTTCTTCCCAATTCCGCCTCCTCTGTTTCTGATAGATGAATGAATCAACTAGATTAGATCCTTCAACTAACAAACAAGGCCTTGCCCAGTGCTTGTTTTTTTCTAGCCATGAGGTAAGGAAGATATGTGCTCAACCAAACTGGTTCCTTAGGGAGAGAGGGGAATCTCTCCCTGTGTCATACTTGAGAAACAAATAGTACAAGGAACCCTTCAGCTGGTGAAAGATGGGCTTTGCAGTGAAAAGTATGGAGTTCAGCTTTGCAGAAACTAAACTTGATTTCGAAATCATTGGTTTAAAAGGAGAAAAAAAGAAGAAGGAAAAAGACAGAGAAATATGATGAGTTTGCATACCTAGTCCTTGAGAACGGATCGAAGAATCTTCCGTCACAGGATAGACATCAGATGCCATGTCGGAGGTATTCCCGTTCGTCATCGGCGGTAGCTGAGAGTTCACTGCAGAAAAAGCAAGTTGTGAGAACCGGAGTGAGCTGCCGTTTCTCACCTTTATGTGGCTCAGCAGCAGGAAGATACCAACGGAGAAGCGCAACATGCTGGTTTTGGACATGGTAAGGTAGCTCAGCGAGATCAGAAAGATTACGGCCAGCAATCCAAAACAGCAACTTTGCGGCTTTCCACGGCTGGTGTTCCTGGGCTTCATCTTGTGACTTAACCTCTCCGGTTCCGGCCGCCTCCTACTTCAGTGGAACCTCCAAAAGTGTGCAATTCTTGTCTTGGAGAAAGACTGAGAGGCGATTTTGATGATTAGCATGCAAAAGATGGAGCTACTTTATCCTCTCTCTTCTCTCCAAACAGTGATTGAACGGTGATGAGTCGGGTTGGGAAAGAGTCCAAATAAATTGGCCGTGATAAGGACCTCGTAACCTGTCAAGTAAAACAAGCACCAGAAGGCGGGTGCTACTGCTACTGCTACTGCTTCCACCACCACATGACAGCTTTCTTTGTGGAGAGGATGGTCTGAAACGAATGCTTTTAGGTGGTGTTTGGTGAGGAAGGTGAGTTGAATGCTCTCACTTCTTCAGGGCTGGGTGGCTTAGTATTGGCGATACAAAGCACTCGACACGCTTTCTATTACTCGATATGCTTCGACTTAGGAATGTGCCGTTTTACTCGTTTGTTTTCACTTCTTAGAAGAGGTGGAGGAGACCTCTACATCAAAAACCACAATGTCTCCCTCTTCCTTTATTTCTACATAAGGTATATACGTACGTGTATAATTTATTGTTCTGTTCGGGTTGGGACGAGGGATAAGGCAATTAAAGCAAAGCGTGATGAGGACCATTGGCTAGGAAATTGCATCGTGCATTGACTGGGGCGGACAGGAATTTAATACTGTGGCTCTCCGAGGCAAGTTGAGATTCTCTATCAGAGTGTCGGTGGGAGTACGAGACGAAGGCGTCTCTGCTGGCCGTGTTCTCATCCCTGTATTGTCATAAGGACCGTTGGTATTGGGACGATAAGAAACCGAAGTATCACCAACGCTCGAGTTATTTCTGGATAGCTTTCTTCACCTGTAAAGATAGCAGCAGACCCACCGCTGCATCGGGCTGCATCATCTCCGTGTGTTGTCGTAGGGACTGTTGATATTGGGACGATAAGAAATGGAAGTTTCACCAACGCTTTTGAATAAGTGTAGACCCTTTAAGGAGGGGACCGGGCAGAGCCATAGCTTAAAAAGCATTTAAAGATGCGCCAATAAACCAGACCACGTTTTAAAGAAAAAAAAAAGGTTCTATCGACCTTTATTAAAAGACCATAATCTATGTAACACCAAGACTGAGGCCATAATCTATGAAAAGCAATATTTGTAATAAGACGAAGACCACAATCCAAGTGCAGCAGAATTAAAGAAAACTGTGCCACCAAAATTTCATTTTGAAGTTGGAAAACTTTACTTTGTACAAATAGGATATATATACAAAGTGAAGAAAGGTAATAAATATTAACCACATTTAACAAGATGAGTACTTATCCATAATTCTGGCAACATGAACCTTTTGACATTCATAAATATGTAGAGGCAGTTGATGTTCGACTGTCAGTCCCAAGAAGAATTACCATTACTGTGACGTCGTCATGGTACTTTCTTCTCATGCCAGCAGGGATGCTCAGCAAGTCATCTAGACTCAACCCTGCGACCCCGAAAATGTGATGTGTTACATGAACTATACAGGAAACAACTGAAGTTCCAGACGCAATGATTCAAGTAAATGCAAAAGATCATCGAGGCAGTTCAAACGAAGTCATGCATTAACAGTAGTTGCAAATCAGTTCTAGCACATGGAAGTTAAATTGCTTCAACCTATGCAGTGAATTATGACCAGGAACTCTCTTCGTCACTTCTCCCTGACCAAGAATGGCTGATCTGTATATTCATTTAGTACTGCATTTTGTTTGACAAAATGTGATTATAGAATAGCAAAGGAAACCAAATGCCAATAAATTCAGTAAATGCAGATAGAGAGGCTCCACGTATAGGATTAAAGAAGCAGATGCAATTTTAATGACCCTAGGAGACTGCAAAAAAAAAAAAACCCACCGAAAAGCTGCACAGACCTCAATTTGGGTTCAGTGGATCTAGATATACACTAAGAAGAGACCTCAATCATCCTAATATGATCTCTATAATAGTTATGTCTCAAAGGGTTTGAAATTGGAAGTCGAATGCTAAGGATTCCAGGCATGTGTCTCTTTCTTTGATTCAAATATAACTTCCATATTATCTGTATCATGATTATGTCTAACAATTTCGCTCCCTTAACCCATCACACTGGTTTCTAGCATTTTAAATGTTCAAATAAGTAATAAAATATTTTAAAAAATATTTATGTAAATAACTTGCCCAAAATTACAATAAAGCAAATTCTTCTGTGGAACGTGATGTATCCAGACAGACTAGACTAGCTATTCAAAGAGTGGAATGTTAAATGCATGGCAAACACCAATTATATTACATGGCTATTAATCTTAGAGATATATTCTTTATTCTTATAATTCCATTAAATATTCAGAGTAATAAAGAAGAGCTTCCATAGAATTGTTGCGTTCTGATATCTCAGGTTACACGATGCACCATCATCGAGTTAAAAAGTGTGACTTGAAAAGCATACCATTTGGTATACTTTGGTCAAGAACCTTCATTTACTTTGTCAAGTACCAAATGGAAGATGGGGATATCATGCAGAGGAATTGCCCTAAAACAGGGGAACCTCACGGGTTTTCCAATTTCAATAATTTGTAGTTCAATGTTCTTCAAGTTTTCTGAGAGTTCGAGGCTGCAACTCAAGCATTAAACTCGCACTAACATCCAAGATCAAACAATTGATTCCCAAAGAGATTATCATATATACATCTATTGAGCCTACCAGTAGTTTTCATCTTTGTAAATACTGAAAAGATCCTTCTTAGATAATATTCTGAAGGCATTGCAATACATCTAATGGCTACTAGGTGTTGCATCTTTTACATAACAAACCTACTGAACTCAAGTCCACTGATATACTCACTGAAATAACCTCTACATATAAACCACACATGGAATAATTTATTTATAATAGAAGTACTCATTTTCAGCCTACTTTAGTGACTTCTGGGGATGTTCTCTGGAAAATAAAATTCAATCTTGCCACAAAGGAACAGGTTAATTTCTATAATAAAAAAGGGTCGAATATAGTTGGTTTATCTTGTAGAAGTATCATCATAGGTATAATCTCATGTGTAGCTTGATACACCATAGAGTGAAGAATTTTGTCAGTTACCAAAAAATCGAACTTCAATGAACATGGAAACAATTTCACTGATGCGTGACCATACCTGCCATTTTGGCGGCTTTTGAGAGAAGCTGCTCCACTAGGAACTTGGCTGGGTCACCAGCTGGGGAGCTTAAAATGTAAGAAGATACTAGCTTCACAACTTCGTCGTTGCTCAAGAAGTCAAACAGACCATCACTAGCTAATATCACAAAACGATCACCTTCTGACAGTCTGTGGACACTAACAGATGGTTCTGTGGAGATATACGGTGGGCTGCACAGATTTGGAACTTGAAGTATACCCATCAAAGCATCATTCATCTTTCTCTGCATAATTAAAAAAAAGCTAAATGACAAATTTTTGAAAGTGGATAAAAATTACAGTTTACAAGCATGAAACACATAGTTTCAATTGATGCTACCTCTTTTAGATATCCTACTCCAAATGCACGAGTTAGTCTCAGTTTTCCCTTCACCTTGCCATGTACAATCGTCTTAGGGTCATCAGGGTGCTCAGACAGAAGTCGCATACGTTCCATCTCGTTATCAACTGAGTGACATTCCATAAGCTGAATTGCTTCCAAATCCTTGGTATCAATGTTCTTTTGTTCAGATGTTGCCAGTATAGCTCGACTATCACCTAGGCTGAGTGTATATAAATCTGATCCATGAAGAAACACAACCAGAACACAAGATCCAATGGACACTAAATCCGGTCGGTCATCCATTTCTCGTTCAACCATATGCAGGAAATCACTTTCAGCTTGTGCAAGAGCTAGTTGAAGGCAATTAACTATGCCACATCTAAACGAATCAGACAAGGATTCATCCTCTTGGTCATGAACAACTCCTAGATCATTGAAACCATTAGCCAACAGATGTGTTTGTTTATGGAAATTATCATCCTCTATAAAGTGCTGGATGAAATCATTTGAATAAACACTACCTAAATTCTTAACATCATTATCGTTTATTCTCGAGTCCGATAGATTTAGATATAACACAATATTCTCATATAAAGTTCCAGCTAGAAAGTCAGCTGCATCGCGCCCATTGAAGCCATCAAAAATTGCACAAAACAGCCATCCATTTTCTTCCGAACATACAGCTTGTACTCTGTCTTCACCAGCAGCTCCACCTGCCATTTGCACTTCCATGACATTCAGGAAGCCTCCACTTATGGGAGCACTCATCGATTTGAACATACCCACATCTGAATCTAAGAAATCACCATGTGAAGACATGCTTCCAATTGAACTTGTTATGTTGGTCTTTGAAGAAGATGATAAAACATCCAAACTCGATAATGATGTCAAAGAAGCGACCTTATGAAATGTTTTTGGAGAATCCAAATTAGGCAAAATTCCCATCCCAAGTAAACCATTGCCAATATTGGTGTTAGCTAAAGTTGCATTTGCACTTATAGCAGCCCCTGATAAGAAAGCAAATGAACTTCTGCTTGCAGGAAACTCTTTGCTTGAACATTCTTGTTTAACAGAGCATTGATAACCAAAATTAATATTAAGTTGTTGATCCGATTCAGCAAATATTCTGCTTAGCATGATTTACTGTTGAGCCTGAGAAAGTCTCCTTCTAAAGAACACTTGTTCTCTGTATAACACCAAAATCACACAAGTAGTCAAAAGAAAAGTTATAATTCAAACAAGCATATAAAAAGCCATATGCATACTTATGTGAGAAATTTAGTAGGTATCATAATCATGCACATCCAAAATATTACAACATTGTGGTATCATACAAAAACATAAAGTTTTGTACATTTAGTCATTACAAAAAATATACATATATATGATACAAAATTTTGTATCCGTTGCTTTGAGCTCGAATCCTATCCACATAAAGCAAGTACATGCTCATTCTTCTACATACAAATGGGTATACAAACAAAAAACTTTCTCTAAGAGCATGATATGCTAAAGTAATTCAGACAAATTGTTACATATTATCATGCACAAGATTTGAGTACTAAACAATCACGTTAGTGCCATACACTAAACAAACAAGCTAAATGTTCACTTGAAACCCATGCATTTGCACATAAATGCATAGTTAGCAAGTTCAGAAACCCCCCAAAAAAGAAAAAGAAAACCTATTATGAGATTGCAATATAACTAATTCCGGATCGATTTCATATATCCAGAGCAACATGAATGCTAATATATCAAGGCTTAGGACATTTTGTGTACAAGTTGCAGTTAGCCTAGCACGCGAAGGGATGATATGATACTTTCAGTAAGCCATGCAATGAATTACTCAACGGTACCCGTCCAAGGAAAGAGGTTGTGTGCATGACTCGAACTTTGGTCACCTGGATCGCAAAGGAGCAATCTCATATGACACCTAGGCTTCACCCTAGTATATGCCCCATCACTCGTATACAACATTCAGAAACCTCAACTTGATATTCATTTCAGCTTCATGGTTCTTCCAAGGTAGACAAGATCTGTCTATTATATCCCACAAAGCTTCATCATGCCAACATCCCAGTAAACGACTATGGCCGCTCTGTTACTTTTTCGCAGATATGGTATCCTTATCAAAGAAACCAATAACTTGATTCCATACTTAGCAATAAGGCCACGGTTTTAGCAAAAGGACGATTCCCTTGACATCAAGCGATGTTGTAAAAATTCAATACCATAATTATGTTCTTTTTTTTTTTGCCGATCGAACTGTCTGGAAAAGAGGGAGAAACCATCAAATCGAGAATTTTAACGTGTCATTAAGCTCTGTACAACCAAAAATTGACATGGATTTGCCTAATGCCCTCAAAGAGGAACGAGGACAGAAAAGATAATCAAGATCAAGGTACCGCTTCAAGAAGAAGAGTTTGGGAATGAGGGCAGAGATGCAGCCCATCAAACCTAAGGAACAACACTGCACAAGCAACAAAACACCGAGGGCAAACTCCACACACACCAATGCCTAAAAGAAGTAGGATATGAAGAAAGGAGCAACAGAAGAAACAACATCGAAACCTACCTTCAGTTCCGAAGATGCCTCTGAACTTAACCCGTAACGAGGGGAGAAGAAAGATAAGGAACGAAACGAAAACGCGACCGAGGACGGGTCGGTGCCACGAGCGGCGTCCCCCTTTATACATGGAATTTAGGTGGTTTCGGTCCATTATAATAAATTCGTAACGATATAGTTTTTGTTATAGCAATGAGAAAAATATATCATATTAGAATAAACAATAAAAGGGAAGAGATTATGACTTGTGCGGGAATAAACCATGACCGCCCTTTTTTTTTTGGTCTCAATCTTTTTATGTGATGCGATGCTGCCAGTCCACAAAATGATCGGAATCGATGCCTTCAACCTTTCTTTAATGGTGAAAGATTCACATCACGAGAAAAGGCATTGTTCTGCTCCTAAAAGAATGTTCGGCAACCGTGTCCTCCGAACTCCAATCTGAATGAGATCTTCATTTAATTTTGCACCCTATGTATGCATTTCACAACGAAAAAGGAAATTAAAGCTTAACAAACATATTGAATTGTGGCATCAAACCGGAACAATTTTTCTTGGGCAGTTAATATTGTGGTCGAATGGCAGTAGAGAGGCAGCCATGGAGTCGCATGGCTCCCCTTGATTTCCCATCTCGATCAAACATGCTGACTTCTCTGATGTCTGTTGATCCACGCACACCAACCTAGGCCACGAGCATTGTTGTGGGCGGGCGGGCGGGCGGCATGGTCATCCGCCATCACAAACCACGCTGGAATCTCTAGGAATCCATTATTTGTGGCTTAGCATCTTCTTTCCGATACCACACATCCAAGTCACAATTTCTGACTCGGTCTTATTTGGACCGCACCAATTTTGTCCCCATCTGCAAGTGAAGGCATTCGTATTTTGGAGGTATAAACTAAACCAAATAAGAAAAGAAGGATAAACCCAACAAGTACGTAGAGGCATCTTATCTAAATAGATAAGATCGTAACACAGCAACACTGATGTCGCTTCTCCTAAATTGGATAAGGAAATTATCATAGATCAATCATCGAAAAAAAAAAAAACTCTGCAAGATTAAAAGTGTGTGAAAGATATGAGGTGTCAAATCAAATGAGCACACTTTGACTCTTAACACCTCATATTTCATAAAGCCCAAACAAGAAATAAAATTCTGCAAATGCATATTCACCCAGCACACACTCAACTTTCTCTGGTCATGAAACAGGGATAACCACATACAACGGGCCTATCCATGTGAAGAAGGATTAACATTGATAACGACATACATACATTCACATACAATGGACCTGTAGTTACCCAAGAAAAAGGTACACATTATGGATTTGGAGTAGCAGATGAAAATATCTATACACACATGGGAAAACAATCCAAATAATATTTTCTCTAAAACAAAATGCTCAATCACCAGCTTCCATAAGAGAAATGTCCTCAAGGCTCCCTTGAGAATGTAGGGTGAAATCAAACGTATAACTAGCATAATGCTTTTCTGTTGTCTAGCTCAGAATAATTGAAAAAGACCAAGGAATTAGACAATATTGGAAACAAAAGAGGTCAGGCTTCAAATTTACACAAAAAAGCTGGTTGTAAGTATTAATTCTGCTAGCTTCGATCAAAACCACAAACCATCCCGAGTCAATCCAAAGTCCATTCATTTGGTTAAATAACTGGGATGAGAGCTACCCATCCACAACCGACTCAGAATGTTCATCCCAAGCAATTCTCCCTATTTTTCATGCCACTAAAAATCAACCAAAATAATATTTTCTCAAGGAAACACCCTGCCCAAACAAAGATCATGGAAGTATTTCTCCAACATTATCAATAAATTTCTGAAACCTTGTCACTCCAGGCCTTCTTCAAAGTGCTTACGACTGAAAGTTCATAAAGTATAAATCAAGCAACTTAATTGGGGATACAGAGTAGATTCTCCCTGGTACATTGAGTATCATGGACTAATGACTACTCTTTGAGCGTGCTTGAGAAGGAAAATCAAATTCAGTTGAGCCATCTGTTTACAAAAAAATCACTTTATACGACGGTATTGTAATTACATATTGCATGAAGGAAGCATAATTCCAATCTATGCAGAAACAAGGAACACAGATTCTATCAAGGGCTGATGCTATAGAAAACTTTGGTAAGACCTTTCTTTGTTCGGATCTGTGTGACCTGAAACCAAAAAGGAGACTAACAAATGCATCCATACTTTTTTTTTATAAAAAAAATCAAAGAAGACAAACTTTTAATCTAAAAAATGAAAAAAAGAGTAAATATATGAGCATTATACAGCAAACAGAAAAAACTGATTCTGTACAGCAAGAAAGACACCTTTCAAGACCGAGCAAGCAAACTGACAGAAACTTATTCTTGTGCCAGAGTAAGATACAGCTTAAACCTAGCAACCAATTTTATTACCTAAATTCTTCAAGGTTAGATCTGGTTGTTCCACATTATGACTTCACAATGCAAGTCAGAAGGAAGAAGCGGGAAATTCCAGATAATAAGAGAAATAGCTGACATACAACAAAAGCTGTTTTGTCAACTTCTAGTTTTAGTGATTTTAACTCCAACACTTTCTCATCTATCCAACCACTTACTTTTTCTCATTTTTTGATCAATTGGGATGGACAACACATGGAATACAGTAAGTGCCTACCGGACATAACATGAAAGATACAATCTCTCATTAAACTGACCGTTATAAGATTACTCTTGAGACAATGTCACAAGAAAACCGAATACAAAAAGTCCCAAAAGAACTTATCAGTGAAGATACCTCTCACTCGACTTTCACTACAACAATTGGTCTTGGAGAAGAGGCCTCTACCTTCCCCTCACCAAAGCACCCATCATAACCCAAAGCATCCCCTTTGTGCATGGTGCATCTACCCAAGACAAAAAAACATTCAAAGCACTCAACATATCCCATACCGTCTCCTTTGCGCGTAATATGTTCGAACAGAACAGAAAAGCATTTGAAGCGCCCAACGTATCCCATAAGGCCTCCTTTGCACGTGATGCATCCTCCCAATACAAAGAAGCATTTGAAGTCGTTGATGCATCCCAAAGCGTCTCCTTTGAGCGTGATACATTCGCCCAAGAAAAAGAACATCTAAAGTGTCTGATGCATCCCAAAGCATCCATATCGAAAGTGTTGTCTAATTTAGCTAGTAAAGACTTTAGTAGATTATCATAGGATCCTAGGTTCGAATCCCACATTCGCCACTTACCCTTTGCAAAAACAAAAAAATAACACTATATAAAGTGGCCTTCTTATATATGTTTTCATTGGAAGCCGACTAAACCAACACTTACAACCTTTAGATGCCTACAGACCTAATTTGATGTTGAAGGAGTTTTTCGGACAATCAAACGTAGTCTTCTTCTATAGGAAGTGGGATATGGGATATGAACATATTTCAGCACTCGAACTGACAAGGGACAAGGGATATAAGATATAAATGCCTTCAGAAAAATTTCTCCCTCATCGAAGTTATGAAACTCAATGACTTTCTCTCTTTTGGATGTGATGGTACTCGAAAAACAAACCAGGTTGTTCAATTTCACTAAGTCAAATTGACAACCAAATTTGACCTTATCAAGTCTCATTTCATCACTTCCGTTGGGTAGTGTGTATATGCAAAGGCAATTGCTTCTTCCAAACTCTAAAAGTAAGCACAACAAAATAAATTACTATTTCACTATGATGTTTCATTGTCCAAGCTACATATTTCACAAAAGCCATAGGATTCAAATTCCATCCACCATCCAATTAGCATACATTTGTATAAGATTTCGATCTTAATCTCGTGCCATACTGTACCTATTAGTGGGATGATAAGGGAAGAAGTTCTTTGGTACATTCTGAAACCTGAATACTATTGCAACAAACATTAAAACACCACCACAAAATGCACTGAAGTCTCTCCATGAGCAATGGAGCATCTACTTGGTGTTAATGTCCATCGCCTAACAGGAAAAACTCAATTAGCGGGTTACTTGGTGACTCACAGTTATATAGGTATCTATGTTCCTTCGACATGGAAGAAACATTTCAGCAGCTTCGAAATGAAATGGGAAAAGGATTTGTTATGCAAACATGCAATTATCATCAGTACATGTTAATATCCTTTGACATGCGAAGATAAAGACTTAATCAAAAGAAACCAAGTCAATCTTACCGTCAAGTTCCTTATATCGGCAATATCAGCGACATGTGTCCCACCACAAGGACAGCCAGGATGGTCACCCAACTTCACAATCCGTGGAGCACTATCCTGAATAGTTTCATGAAGCACTAAAAGATCACTTACATTCATAGAAGTACAAAATATCAACAAAACCACAATTTATGTCAAATCTGAACAAGAATGACAAATTAGTGGGACACTTTAGGAAGAATTTCACTACTTGATAGTTTTAATCATTAATTATGTAGATAAATTGTAACTAACAAAACCTGAGAATGATTAGTAACCTACACCAAGTTTAAGCATAAGGATTGTCAAAACTTCCTTCAGCACATCTATTATGAAGAAAATACAAGAACTCATTTAAACAGAATTATTGTACCTAACCAAAAATGCATTTCTGCATCTATGAGTTACAGTGTAGACTATAGAGGATGATATGTTACAAAGAAATGAAGAATATGTGTCTGAGATGCAATTGTTATCAGATCTTTTAGGAAAAAATTCATCATAGGGTATAACAAAACACACGCTTGCCACATAGTCTTAATTAGCAGTCATCTTCAAAGTTCACAGTTACATACCGTTGGAATGTAACTGGGAAGAACACCCCCGCACCACTCAGCAGCTTCATTATAAGATAAAACGGAAGCTGAAACCTAAAGAAATAATCACAAAAGATCATGTTTTATGACTAAAAGAAGATCCAAAAATAAACACAACTTGCAAACAACTAATTAGTTACATAGTGTGGTACCCACCTTTCCTCCAGTTAAAATCAAAGCATTTGCTTCTTTCTCCAACTCCTTTGATTTAATTTGCAGCAGATCTGGTGGGATAATGCCTTTATATTCAACAAATGGCCTGTGAAAAACAAGTAATTTGTCATCCAGACTACAAAATTTGCATCCATGTAAATCTGACAATCCAAGTGAAAGTGCAAGTCGAGTTACAAAGGATGTAGCATCCATGTAGCAAAAAGGACAATAAGAAAGAATATGGACAACTATGAAGTGTGTACAGAACAAATAAGATGGTACAACTACATGGAATGCATTCTGACTGAGATATTCTCTAAATCTAGGACACAATTAACACCATGTGCCAGTGTACACGGAGTTCCAATACAAGGACAAAATAAATGTATGCTCCTTTGTGAATCTTGATTGCTGAAGAGTATGATGAACTACAACAGAATATACACTGGAGCACATTTTAAGATACGTTCTTATAAAAACTCAAATATGACACCGTACAAATTAATGCTCTGGAAGAACCAAATAAACACAAATAAGAAAGGGCAAGTGCCATGGATGGATGATGAACTACAACAGAATGAAACAAATATTATGTGGCAGCTAATTCCCAGGAAGTTGCTTTAGGTGCAAAGATTCTATTAATTAGAATCAACAACTGGATATTCTGGCAGTACATATTTTAACCCCAGCAATATGATTACGCACTCAGACATCTGACACACAGCATGACTAAGTATGCTTTGCAGACCATAACAACACAAAGTATGCATATTGCAAGCAAAATGACATAATAATGGTAACGACAATGAAGGGTTTTTTGAAGTTTCAAAATTCTGAATTTATAGCAGAGATATAATCTCAAGTAAAAACACTATTGGAAACTGCATGTCCACCAAAGCAGCCAAATTACTATGAAATAAAAAAAATGCAAAAGATGTAAAAGTGCTCAGCTATTAGCATCATAAACATCAGATGAAAAAAACAATCCATTAACAAAGAACATAGTAGCTGCTACTCCAAAAGGCGTATATAAAAGTGCAACATCATACCCATCCGAGAAATGGTAACCTTTTCCAGGTTCTAAATGAGATATGCCCACTTTCCGCATGCATATATCAAGCAAATGCCCTGCTGAATGAAGCCTGCAGAAAAAGAAACAGAAGGCCTGAAATGAAAATTCCTTGTATTCTTATAAACCGTCATTAGTCATGTGCAAACCTAACTAATGATCCTGACATTCATAAGACATCTGTTTCCATAGTGATGCATAAAAGTACATTGTTTAGCATTATTACAGAGGAAGAATCTCGCACACACAATAAGGGAGCCCAAGTTTCTTTCTATAAGAAAAATTCATAGCAAAGCAACATAGATAAAGCAGCAGAACCTTCTCATTGAGCTTTCTTAACTACATGCAACTCTTCTTCGACTTTACAAACAGTTCCAAACTAGGATTGTAAAAAGTTCATTTGCATGCCACAAATGGCAAAGTTCGATGTTGCAATAATACATGGTTTGTTATTCAATCATATTTGATGCCTCAGGAAAAAAATTGAAGCATGCATAAACTACATTGTTTTTATTATGTAAATATATCAGAAACTCAGATAACTACCTAATAGGCGCTACTCTATAGAATAACAAGCAGCTATAATCAAATGGATTAGTGTGACATCTTTTGCTGATAAAATAGCAGCAGCAAAGATGGGCACCAAATAGTAATGTGGGACATCAATCAATTTTGCAATTGGTTCTACTATAAGTGGTCCAAGCCAATTGAGTGAATGGGCAAATGATGGGTGTGGTAAGGATTGACTAGCGCTCATCCAGGTAGGTCAAACTTAAGCCTTTATAGTACTGGTGAGGCAAGGTTGACTTGGTTATGGTTGGCTTTCAAAAGTACCAAACCAAACTGACTTAGATTAGTAAACTTTTGCCAACTTAATACTCCTTGGAGATCCACCCCAGTCAAGGATTTGAAACTAGCCAGAATGGTCCACCCGAGAAATGGTACAGAGACCTGGTGATTTCACACAGTACGGTTTCATACAGGGTATGGTTACCCTTAAGGCCTTAACTATAGTACACTTTAGATACAACTTGTTCAATTTAAAACCCTTGTTCTGTCCTTATTTCTTAAGGATAATGAAGCTGATGTACTTTGTGAGTTTGTATCTTAAAGAATGTTTCATTTAATTTTGGTTCTATACTTCCGTCAAGTGTTTGCAAGTGAAGGCATATGGGGATAACATAAGCTGATATATTTTGTATCATAACATTTTTAGCAATTGTTCAGTTGTATCCTTTTCTAAAGCATTTGCAAGTAAAGAGATATGGATGGACAGTTCGTCTTCACTTCAACAGGGAAAATGTTTACTCAGGAGAGGTGTGGCAGTAACTTGGTTATAGTTGGCTTATTGTGACAGTAAGTCATGAAAAAAATCAATACCTTGAATTAAGATCACGTCTTTGGGGGTTGATATACAAGTGAACTTCTTCTCCCTCTTTCGCTATGGATACACAATCATCTTGAGGGTTCTCAAAAGAACCATAATGATAAACCTAGCAAAGAATAGGAAAAAGAAAACATGTAAAACGAACAGTGAGATGACTGAAATCTGCGGCCATGCAACCCCAAGAGATACTCAAAGCAACCATGCTCCTGCGACATGACAAATAGCAATAGGCTATTACATTTCTATTCTCAAACAAAAAGTTTACTCAACTCCTAAGATACCCTGATCTACTATCTGTTAAAACATTTTATCAACTGCTAAATTAGCCATATCCTGAGAATTAATGTTACGCTCTTTATGGCTAATCACAGCCTAGAGGCAGATTTATAAGCTCTAAAGCAAAAAAAACATTATCTTAGTCTCTTAGATATATTTTGATTGTGTTGACACATGTTGTACGGCGACTGCTTTGGTACTAAACATTTCTGGTTTAAAGCCGTTCTCTATATGTCTCTAGTTTGGGAGTTAAAGGGGTTGAGCCATCCAAGGAGAAGCAGCAGAAGGAGGCTTTTGTATAATAGAATGGTAGTCAGCTATGTGATCATTTTCTGACACTACTATGAAGAATGAGCTAACTAAGATGGAGAGTGAAAGCCATCAATGGGAAATTTCTATGGAGGCTTCAAAGTGATGAATACCTGAAAACCAGTATGAACAGTCACAGGAAGGGCTATAAGGACCATAGAATAACAATATCCCAAAGTGCCAACTACCAGATATGCTACAATTTTAACACCAGGAGTTAACTAGAATGCCTCATATGGTGATAATTGTGATGTTAGGTGAATTTCTAGCTCAATCGGGTGTAACCAGGATGATAGTACTTCAAATCATCCCCAAGACTAAGTTTTAAATAATTAGAACCGACAAGAAACTAAGACTTCTCGCACCAACATGGGTTCGGCTATGGGACATAAATCAAATTCGAGATGCTCTATGGAAAGTTTGATAGGGTTTCAGGTCCCAGCTGAAAAAAAAAAAAAGAATGTTAGAAAAATGGACGCTCGCCTCTTTGATGTCCAATTCTCGAATTGTTTTTGGTCAAACTGCAACTGAAGAATGACACGACAGTACATGACTGTCGCACTTCTCACCACTCAGCACCAAGACAGCAGAGTCAGGTTGCGAGGGGGAGGAAGAGCACATTGAGAGAGAGATGATGAAGAAGGGTTCAAGATCCAGCGGAGAACAGCCGAGAGGCTTGAGAAAGATGATGGGACGAAGCAAAGTGAGGTGGGAACAAATTCCTGCATTGCTGAATCAGATGATGATAGCATTGGGTCATAATACGGTAATTTAACCATTGGATCAATTGCTAACCGATCACAAGAAAGTACATAACGCTGTTTTTCTGTACCAAATTCTTGTTTTCCCTTTTTTTTTCTTTTGTATGATCTGAAGAATCAAGAACGAGAATTAGACGATTAGACGGCGAAAGGGGGTTTAACTCACCAAGCCATCCTTCAATCTCGCGTCCTCCACGACGAACTTGAAGCCGGAGGCGGCGCCTGAGATGAACCCGGTGTCAGCCGGCTGGCCCCCGCCCTGGGGATGGAATATGGTGGAGTCCAAGATCAGCGCTCGGCGGCCGTCCTCGGTCTTTCCGACAAAGATTACGGAACCAAAGTAATCAGGATTTCTCTTTCATTCGGTGGACATAAAACGTTCGGGGAGAGAGGGGAATTCAAATCTTTACCTGGAGGTGGGAGAGGAGGGTGGCGGTGGATTGGACGGCCCACATGTTGTCGAAGTATGCGAGCTTCGTGGCCGGAATCGCTCCCGCCGCCATCGTTCGTCGTCGCTTCGGATGCGAGATCGAGCTGCACCAAGTCGTTTCGTCTTGTCCGTCTCACCTACCCACTCTAATAAAAGCAATTCTTCAAACAATAATAAATAGGAAATTGTGCGAGGAAGTATATATATTCGTTTCGTCTTGTCCGTCTCACCTACCCACTCTAATAAAAGCAATTCTTCAAACAATAATAAATAAGAAATTGTGCGAGGAAGTATATATATATATATATATATACACATACTTATGACTTCTGTGGCATCTCTTATGACCTAACAACATAGGTAGATTGCTAAGTACCTTCAATTAAGTCTCTTATGATCTAGAATTTTAAAAAGGTCATCTTGAGTGAACAACCACCTCACCAAAGATTCAATTCTCAAAACATAATAACATATAAAAAATTAATGACATGAACAAACACTTGTAGTTATAAAACTGTGTTAATATGCTATTATAAAATTTATAGACCTTGTGATTGGACTATCTAGGAATAGAGTGCATGTAAAATTATCCTTTACATAGTTAATAAATATTAGTAAAAATATTAAAAGTCATAAGATTTTGAATAGTTCATAGTTTCTAAGGTTTAGATTTTCTCAAACAAATTTAAAAGTATATTCTTGAATTATTTTTACATTAAAAAAAATTAATTTGATACCGTACTATAGATAAGCTAAAGAGAAAAATGAAGGGAACCACACAAACATCTCCATCCCGTTTTCCATGTAGATAACGATCAATATAACACAAAAATTCAGTAGAAAAAGGGCCAAAAAAATTAAAAAGGGAGAATATTTTCTAAGAACTGCCGTTATTTTCCACCCTTCTCTCGGCGGCGAAGACCAACTCCTCCTCCCCTTGCTCTCTATATCCCCAATGGCAACTACGCTCGCCGCCTCGTGTTCCTCGCCCCCTCTACTCCGCCCCATGTCTCTCCTCCCCCGACTCCGAGTCGGCCTCTCCCTTCCCCTCCGCCGCCGCGCTCTCACCGCCGTCGCCGCCGCCGTCCGGCAGGACGCCGCCACCTGGACCCAGGCCCCTCTCAGCCTCGTCGCCCCCGCCTCTGCCGACGCCTCTCTATTCCACGTCTCCGTCGACGTCTCCTACGCCCCCGACCTCGCCGTCTCCTACACCGTCCCCGGCCAGTACCTCCAGCTCCGCGTCCCCGCCTCCGACAAGCCCTCCTTCCTCGCCATCGCCTCGCCGCCCTCCTTCGCCAGCTCCCGTGGCGAGTTCCAGTTCCTCGTCAAGAGGGTCCCTGGCTCCGCCGCCGACCTTCTTTGTGGGCTCGGACGGGGGGATGTCGTCGAGCTGAGTGCAGTCATGGGGAAAGGATTCCAGGTCGAGCGGATCTCGCCCCCCGACGCCTTCCCCGCCGTCCTTATCTTCGCCACCGGATCCGGAATCAGGTAGGGCTCTGGTCCCTTCCGTATTTCCAATGAATCTCTGGAGAATCTTCATAGTTGACTCTATTTGTGGACTTCTTTTATAGATACAATTTTGTGTATTAAAAATTCTTTGTTCTTCTGTGGATTCTTCAGCAAATGTGAACTCTATACAAGCACTGAAAAGACAAATAGAAAGTCGGGTAAATGTGACCAAAATTAGGTTAATTTGGGTGGGGAATTAGCTTTAACCAAACAAGTAGCAAAAGATAATTAGATTAGGAACTCTGTGGACGGAACAACTTTAATTCTAACTGCTAATTAGTGTGTCGTATCTCTCCTAACTATAATTTAGATGTACTCTACATGGGAGTTCTATAACCCCCATTTACTCTAAGCATGCGTTTTCTCATTTACTCTAAGCATCAGATCCATGGTGATTTAGCATTTAATATTTTGAAGAGAAAAACCATTGTGTTTCTGGCAACACCTTCTTCTTGGATTTTTCTTCCTATATTTTGATTATTGTTGTCTTCTGGTTTGATAGGGGATGCCTTTATAGGAATGGGAAGAGTAAGTGTGATGTATAGATAGTCGGTCAAAACTAGTATTTGTTTCGTTGCCCTGGGTCGATGAATCTACTAGATTGTTACCGCTTGAGGGTTGTATCAATCACAAGAGAAGAAAAGAATGGTAAGGATGTAGTTGGGAAGTCACCATGCTGTGGATCATGTGGTTCTATGCGTGCTAGATGTATCAGGTGACAGTCTGCTGTTTTTATTTGGAGTTTGTTGATGTGATTTTATTTCATTTCCTCTTTCCAAGTCCCCGGGTTCCCTTCTTTTGTTTAATTTGTTCTATCAGGTGCTTCAAGCAATTCCTTTTTCAAACCACAGGGGACAATTCCAGTGGGCTATATAAGTCATCCTAAGGATAGTAAATCCGTTGCAATCATGGTAGATTATGTTCTGTAGTTCAAATAAAGGCATGGTTATACAACTTAGGAACAAATACACGGGCTCTTTCCTTCAGAAACAGAAAAAAATAGGCACAGACAAGAAGAAATCGTAATTACTCACAGATAAGATGCATGCCATGTCTGAAAAAAAAGCATTCTTCACTAAACATGGTTTAGCAGAATGTTTCTTTCATGTACAGCCTGAGCCGCTGCTAAAGATTTAGACAGTCCCTTAAAACTGAGTTTTCTTTGATATCGGATTCCTGTTTTTGGCATGTAGATTCCAGAAGTTCTTCCTTGTCATTCTTTTGTCAGGGGAATTGGTCTTTGTTAGTAAGTTCATGTTACATCATTTGTTGTTGGATTAAATTTATAACTTGAGCTAAGTTTCAATGTTTGACTTGACCAAACTTGCAAGCGACTGTTTGCTATCATGCTTAGGCTATAGTTATAGAGTATGCAATACATAAATCTCATGTATCTCTTTGCTTGTAGAACACTGTATAAGATTTTGATCTCTTGTATGCTAAATTTTTTTGCCACTAGTTAACACATTTGTGTTTTTGAAAATATCTTTATTCTATCAACTCTTCGTGGCAGTCCCATTCGTTCGCTAATTGAATCAGGTTTCAATGCAAATGAAAGATCTGATGTGAGACTTTACTACGGAGCTAGAAACCTTCAGAGAATGGCATATCAGGTCTCAGATATGATATATGATGTTCGACATTATGGTTATCATCTTTCATAGAAAGATGCTGCATCATTCTGAATCAAGAGGTCAAGTGTGAAATGGTTTGTTCCTCTTTGTAGGATAGGTTCAAGGACTGGGAATCTACTGGAGTTAGAGTCATACCTGTTTTATCACAACCTGATGAAAAATGGAGTGGTGAACGAGGCTATGTACAGGTCACTCTCAGAATCTATTATCGTTTTATGAAACTCTTCACTTCCTGTATCCTCATCAAATTTATTCTTGCAAACATGTTGCAGGCTGCATTTTCAAGAACTAAGGAGATTCTAAATCCTTTATTGACTGGTGCTGTGCTTTGTGGGCACAAACAAATGGCTGAGGTATGTTTTTCTGATGCCTTTTAATTATAGTCATCGGTAAATGATCTGAAGTAGCTTCAACTGTCTAAGTGCATCATTAATAGGTTTCCTGTTCTGTCGGTACTAAGAAAAGGGTGGCCCAATGCACAAGGCTCCCACTATTTGGGGACATCAACGGTTGCCGCCTTACCCCAACAATCATAGAGGCTATTTCCGTACTGATTCTTGATACCTTATTTCATAGCTGTCACTTGTATCCTGCCTGGCTTGTATCAGTGGACTCCTCTGTTGATCACCATGTTCAGCCCTGTAAACCAACTCCCAGTAGTTTGTCAAGGATGGACCAAGACAAATTCAAGTTCGATGGTAGAAACAATCTCCCAGATACCTTAACTCTAGTAATTAACACTAAGACAATTCACTTTTCATGATTCATCTAAAATTATGCCGTATAATTACTTCTAGTAGTTTGAGAATCTCATCCTCACCGTGCATGATCTAGGCCCTTTTATTTCTGTAATGATCTTCTTCACACGTAATGAATTGCTTGGTTTGGACTCAAAACTTAGCCACTATTGAGTGCTCATTTTGATTGATACAGTTGTCTTAGCTTCCATTTTTTTATGGAACATGATTGTCAATAAACAGCGACTTGTTTTGCTATGACACATTAGGTGCATATTCTGCTGGTGATCATCTGCTGATGCCTCAGTATGTTTTGGTACAATTGCTTTGTGAACCTGTTCGATATTGTCATCTGTATCTCATAACCATATATCTTATTGCTTTCTGTATTTGATTGATCTGCAGATTGCCACTCTCAAAGGAAAAAAAAAAGAAAAAAAAAACTGGCATTCACGGACAATAAACTTTGAGTTTGTTGGATAACCTTCATCTAGATTTAAGTTGTCTGTCTTGGTCAATCCTCTGGAAGGTCAAGAGTTTTGTAAATTTTTTTTGTTTATTTAAATCAAAATTTGAGGGAATTTTAAGGCATGCAAAACCTCGGTATCCTTTTTCTTTAATAATATTCTCCTTTTCTCGAAGCTATTAATAAAGTTTCCTGCATTTTCATCCTAGAATTTGATAGGACATAAGTAGCTACTTTTTTGTACCTTTTAGGTTGCTGGAGCTGATGCTTGAAAATGTTAAATCTGGCTTGTATCATTCCTTTAGAACCAAAGTTTGGAAACAAGTCGTGATTATTGACCATAAGCAAAATATAAGGAGAGGATCCACGAACTTTTTCCTATTATTCAGAATGTATTAGTTTTGAACAATGTACAAGTCATAATATGATCCGGTACTGAGAACAGAAAATAATATACCTGATTTCCAGACCCACCATTGTCAGATTTCATTGTTAGTTTTTTGGTGTTCACCTACTATTGAGACCATGAAGCTATGACAAAATTACTTTCTATGATATTTATTTATCTTATGATAACATCATCTCATTTTTCTTAGCTCATTTACGGGTGAATTTTACTAGTCACAACAGTATGTCATTATGCTGTAATGAATCTCAGTGGGTTCTGAAATTAAAATCACATGTCATGAATGCTGTAGATAGTAAGCTTTATGCGTTATTCTCGAAAAGCAGAGGATTTTGTTTGATGAACCAATTGTTGTTGTTTCAATTTTTGGTAAAGTCTCCAGATTTGGTTGCACGATAATGCTGGTTAACTTACAGTGGATAGCTTATCTGCGACTTTTTTTTTTATACATGGCAGGAAGTGACATCTGAGCTTGTGGCTGACGGCGTATCAAAAGAGAAGATCTTAATGAATTTCTAACTGAGGGCAAGTCCCTCAATTTTTTTTCAAAATCTTTTGCCCATGGAACATCAACATGATTCTTTTGTTATCGGATGCTGTGATCATCTGATTGAGCTTGGAGCAGAACGATAGCGAATAATTTATCTGATACTGGCAGTCTCTGATCGCTTAATGTATGGCCTCTGCGCCGAATGAATTTTGAAGATCTGTACCAAGTAAAATGAATAATTGATGTATACTCTCCGTTTTTAGATCGATGGACAGTAACATGTCTGAATATACAATGAAGATTCCTATTCTTTTTTTGTTTTTTAACCATTACCTACTTTTGATGAGTTATCTTAGCCAGTGTATGATTCCTTACCTTTAGTGATCACCTCTTTTAATTCTGTGCTGTGCTCAAGTGCAGACTGCTATCATGTATATGCTTAGGCCATAATGACACACAATGCCACTCACTGCCCATACCTGTTTAAAATCAAGATAAGAAAAGTGGAGGATTAAAAGTGTGAAGCTATCATGGAAGTGTGTTAGAGCTCATGTCCCACTCCTAAACAATCGACATTACAGCTGCTGCTTGTATCCTGCATCAGTGACTGCAATTACTGCTTTTGGTTGTCAACATAAATCATCGTGTGCTGAGTATATTTGTTCATATCTCTGTATCGTTCTAATTTTATCGGATGTGGTCGAATAGATTTTATATTTGTTCATCATTGTAAAGAAGCTTTTAAATGGAAAAATTAATTGAGGAGAAAAGTATGCACAAACTAAATGAAGGAATGCAGCATAAAATAAAAAGTATATTTTTGCAGTGAACATGGAAGAACAGATCACAGTTCAGCCTCTGCACTTTGCTTCACAGACTCATGAGATTTACTTTTTATGTAATCGAGCAGAGGCCATCTGTCGAGTTCGATGTGCTTTACGCGATCATCTAATCCACGATCATGATCATCATCATGTCCTCTGATGATCATTTGTTCCGTGCCAACTTGCACAGCCTTCCTGCAAGAAATCTTTGGATTACATTAAATATGCTGTGACTGGATTTTTGTCTTCAGGATTCCCCAAATGATCGAGCTTTAGACTGTTCCCCACAACCACCGCAGATTCTTCAAACTGCAGATCTTGGGACACAATATGCGTTAATCGGGAAAAGAGTGGCAGAGTCTGCAAACGCAGAAATCCAGCAGAGTTTGGTGGAGAACAAACAGGGTTGACTGTAACTCCAAGAACAACACTGATTCATCCTGCAGCCAATCCACTCGACAAAGGTTGGCTGGAGCTTGTTCTACACAACTCGAGTTTTTCTTTGTGCTTTGGTTCACATGGAAGCATGGGGGAAAGATTTGGGCCCTCGGACAAGGACAGAGACAGCTTGCAAGCTAAAGCACACCAGCGGGCAGTCCTTCTGGGGCAGCGATGGTGAATGGGGCCAAATCAAAATAAAGAAGAATGCACGGTGAAAGCAAGCTGGAGTTGGCACTTTCGTCACTGGCCAAAACACCATCAGATTGAGATGAGTCGATTGCCATCAGCATGCACTGGCACAGATGAGCAGACTCCTCCCGTGTTGTTATTCTCTGTGTCCTCTCTACTCCTATAAAGAAGACACGAAGAGAGGGCGTTAGGTGACAGACCGAGCAAATGGCACTTTGGCCTCCCGCTGATGCTTCTCCCCGTCTCGTTGTTTCCATCATCGTTTTGTCTGCTTCCATGCACGACCTAATTCCTAACTCCCAGCCCATGTGCTCTCCTTGCTAAACAATCCCACATCAATAGCGACTGCTTGCCAAATCTCTCCCCCTCCCATCCACAACCCTTTTTTAAGTACCGGCATCCACAGGCATTCCTCAGTGGCTTGCTGCTTAATTTCTTCCTTGCTCTCTCTCTCTCTCTCTCTCTCTCGATCTCGACGAGTGCTTATGCCCCTTGCTGTGTTCTTTTAGTCGCCGGGAGACATCTCATGGGGAACACTGCATGCGCGCCATACGCTACTGGCTCAGGTGGATCCATAAAGGTGATCAGCAGCGACGGCAAGTTCGAAGAGTACGTGCACTCGGTGAGAGCGGAGGAGCTGATGGTGGAGAACCCGGGAGAGTTCGTGTGCGACGCCGACCACCTCAGCGTGGGGTGCCGGATCCCGGGACTGGTGGCCGACGAGGAGCTCGAGAGACGCCGGCTCTACTTCCTGCTCCCGATGGACTTGCTCTTCTCGGTGCTCACCGAGGAGGAGATGGCAGCTCTTTCGCGCAGGGCCTCTACCGCGACGAAGAAGAGAGGGGTGGCCAAGAACTTTGGGAGGAGGATTCTCCCCGTCCTCGGTGCAGAAGCCAAGCGAGCGAGCGAGACCACCAGCAGCGTCAAGAGGATGTCGACGCAGCGGTCATGGAAGCCGGCACTGGACACCATCGAAGAGGTTCCATGAACAAAGCCCATAGAGTAGGTGTCGAGCATCAGCAAAAAATAAGCAACTCTTTATTCTTTGGTCACATCTCTCGGTTTTCATTTACGACGACATCCGAGGATTCGATTTCAGATTCTACACTGACAGTGTCATGACTTTGCTTGGAGTTTATGGGCTTTTGAATTAAGACGGGTGAAGACAGATTTGAGTTTATGGGTAGGGAAATTTTTTGTTTTGTTTTTGTTATGTGATTATAAAAGTGAGTCTCGAGTCGTATAATTAATATAAATGTCATTTGTCACAATTACTTTTTTTATGACAGAGTGAAATAAGAACGCTTTTTAGGACAGAGCAAATCCAAACGCTAATATCTATCTTTTGATGGTTTATAGGAGGATCCTACATGAACAAAAACAATATAAAATTAAAGCAACATGCATATAAGGGCATAAAGCTTTTTTTGCTTATGATGTGAAATATTTTTATGTGGTACCAGTAAATTTGTCAGCTGACCTTTGGTGTCTTAGTGTGTTAGGACACTAGCGTTGACTTTAGGCTTGTCTTGTCCCATGCGCCATTGCTGTTGAATCAAAATGATCTCATGAAAGACGCCACTATAAGAAAAAGTAAGTCGAAGATATGATTCAAAGGCATTCAATCACAAACAAGAAGGTTGTCAGTTGAACTCTTTCGAAACAGGGTGAATCCAAGTCATCAGGTGGGACGACGAAAGTCAACCAAGAGTAGTATCATGGAGCTAATCCTACATCAAAGCTTCTCGTCTAAATGCCAAACATATCATTCTGTTGGTAGGCAACCGACACAGAACTCATCAACTCCATTGGAGCTCTCAAGGATATCAACACCCGGGGGCACCGAAGAGTAGCAATATTATATACAGAAGAATAAGAGAGAAACGGGAAGAAAGGGACGAATACGACCAACCGTGGAAACAAAAGCATGATGACAACATTGAAATATGTTGATGGAATGCACCTTTGGTTAAAGAGCAAGTGTCGTACCGGCTGCTCAAGCAAATTCCATCTGAGGTTTTGATCTGTCGGCCACCTTTGAGCTCTCCTCAGACCTGATCACTGTCAAAAGTGTTTCCACAACTTGAGTAGAAAGTATAATGAAGCAGTGATTACAGATATCTGATGCAATGCACAAAAGCCAAGCAAAGTTTTATGTCAGGGTCATGTCAGTGTCAGTACACATCGATCCTAGGATATATAACATCTGATGGAGCAGTTGTGATCAGTACAACAAAGCCATTCAACCATCAATCTGCAGGTGGTCCCTTTAGAAATAAGTAACAGGAGAGTAGCAGCTCCACATGATGATACTACAGGAAGGACCACCACAGAGGCAATGATGCAACTTGAGATCCTGGATGAGGAAGTACTTTTGTTAAACCTGCCTTCCAATCCACCTGGCCTCAACAGAACAAGACTCACACCAATGCAAAAACAGATGGCAAAGACTGCACAAAAAACACCAAACTTGAAAAGAGAAATAAACTTAATATTATATTTCTTAAGGCTCAAAAACCTATGAGTTTTTAGAGTTACAGCAACTGCACTAGAGATAGGAATTTGATACATATCACCACAAGTGACGCTTTGCTCCACTTGGGTTGCGATTTCGATATAAATGCTAGAAGAGTTGTATGTATTGCTTATATACTAGGAGATAATTTAGATCATTTAATTAAGATACTGCTATCTGAAAAAAAAAAAATTCTTAACTTCAGACAGCAGCACAAACACCTCCTCCCTTGTGGGGGCGGTTTGCGTTGACGATCCACAAGATAAGGCACAAAAGGACTCCGATTGAGATGAGTGCTAGTCCTGCATTGACCATCCGAAGGTTATTTTCCAGTCGAGGACAGTAGAGAGTGGTGATAGTGTTGAAGGTCTCTCGGACAAACTTGCAGTCCTGAAGGCTGAGTAGGAATGGTGTGTAGTGGTAGAGGGCATAGCTCACGTTTACAGCCATGGCCAGCTGATCGTAAATGCCAGGGGTAAGCCTTCCACGACTGACACATGAACCTGAATCAGCAACCTTGCATGTGTAATTCTCCCATACCTGAGAAGTTTCAACATGTGAAAGCCTGTTAATATTAAATGAGTACCCTAGGAGTCAGAGGAGAGCTTTGAAGGAAATGAGACAAAATGCCTGAAAAATGATCTAAGGGCCAGTTAATAAATATCTGCTACTGATCACAAATGGAGAGATCATGTTATACAGAAGAGCTTTGAGGAGACTGCTGAAGTTGAGGAGCCAAAATGCAAAGCCTATTTGTCATATAAGTGAATTTTGTCTCCATAGTTTCAGTTTCAACCATGCAGGTCACAGTAATGAAAATAAGCAGAGCCTGTAAGTACTATAGTCACATCAAACCAGAAGGTGCAATATCTACCACAGGTTACCAAAGATGGCTAGGATATAACAGACAAATAAACTAGAGAATCAGCATGTAGAACAGCACATACCAGCCACCAAATGCTTGTTTCATTTCTTGAGTTGAAAAAAATTCAGAAGAGGGTTCGTCAAAATAGTACAGTTTACTTTTCAATTCTTCGTGAAGATATGAACTTAAGGAAAAGCAAACTAAGGACTATTCTTAAGGGCTGTTGTTTACATACCAGTGATGCATTAGCAACCGACGCCTCGTCAGGGTTGCACTGTCGATTTTGCAGGTGGAAATCATAGGGAGAACAGAGATAAGGAACCATGGGCCCAGACTGGTTGTACGAATAAGTTTTCTTCTCCCGAGACGAGGTATCTGAATTCACAGATGAAGATATTGCTGTGTTGACTATGTTTACAAGCTGGTAGACTACTACTTTGCTTTGGTACAGAGTGTGATTTGTGGTCTGCTCATCGACACATGGGAGAACATTGCTCAGGGCTGTCTCGGCATAAGGATAACGAACCCATTCACCCATAGCTGTACAAGTATCAACTGTAGCACTGCAGAAGAAAGCATTTGTGAATCTTCTGATATGCCAAAGTGAAAACCAAATTTGTTGTGCTCCCTAGGTTTTACGGAACATCATGGATAAGTTTGTGATTGATAAACAACAGGACAAATGAAAAAAAGGAGAACTAGAAAATTAATATTCTTACTTGTGAAGCATCACAAAAGTTCCACAGAGAACAAAGGTAAATGCCACAAGTAGCCAACCACTCATTATGAATCTGAAAGATTATACATAAGAAGAAGCCTAAGTAGTCTTCTAAAATCTTTATTCAAAATGAAAATACACCATAGTCCAGAATTTATCTACGCTGCAAACCTGCAACTTCTCAACTTACATGTAAATCGTGTGTCTGTACCCACATATTGAAAACACTGCAGCAGAAAAAAGTGGGAAATGCAAATTGCATGTCAAAGTCAATATGAGAATTAGTCAAAAAACTAAGACACAGCAAACAACAGACATGAATAGACAAGTCAGAAGATAATGCAATATAGCGAATTAGAGATTACATACCAAAACCAAGTGTGGCCAGCAAAAGCATCAAACAGGCTACACCGATCAATGTGCAATGCCTAAACAAAGAGAAAATGAAGCATGGAATATTAAGATGAGATACACAGACCAAAGAAGTAGCAAAAATGTCGTAAATGCATACACAAAATCAATGCCTCCTTTAATTTTGCCAGAATTTTGATCTGTTTTCTCTGAAAGAGCATTAGCTGCATCATCTAAATTTGTATTCAACTTGTCAATTTCATTCTGAGCATCTGGTGGAAGATAGACCTCTTCAACATTGACAGTCTTTGCAGAGGATAGAAAGTCGGTGACATTCCTTAGAATCTGAACTGTAAAATCTGATTGGTTGACTACAAAACTCAAGGTATCCATCACTTCGTCATGAAATTCAGCCTGTTCCACAGAAAGCAGAATGCATCCAGTCCTGCATGGAAACAAATTTGACGCATAAACTAGGAAAGAAGCATCTGAAGAATGGAACGCAGTAATCCAGAGATTCCAAACTTCTATGTCAACCAGATGACACTAAACTGTTTTCGAATTGTATCTCAATCAGATCAATGGTTCAGATCTTAAAATGGTCTACAATTTATTTGACATACTAATCATATTAACTATATCCATTTTCAGGCTTCTTATTTGATGACATACATGATACCACTCCAGACAATATGAATGTGCCAAAACATCTCAACAATGTAGATCATGCTTAACAGTTTAAAGAAGTACCCGACATACTCTTGAGGATCTAGTTAGACAAATGCCACTTAGCCATTTAACATACAATTTAGCGTTTGATAATCCACGTGATGATAAATGAGAATTTTCTCATGGAGATATTGTAAAGCTTAAATTTTGCCCAAAGAAAAAAGTTAAGAGCTTAGGAACATTACGATGCAACACAAGTGAAGACGAACAGCAACATAAGACAAACACGTTGTTTGCAGAAAGAGCCTTCATCTTTGATTTGTGGTCCCCATCCACAGCAGAGACGTATAGCTAAAGCCAGTCCAAAGGAAACCAACCACAGTAATGCAAGGAGAAACCCAGCAGCTCCTGTAAAAGCAACAGACTACACAAACAGCAGTTAATATATAGCAAAAGACATCTAATAATAATTTAGGGGTCAAGAGAAAGAACAAAAAATCGATTTCACATTTTGAAAAAGATGCATATTTGACTGGATTTAATCAAAGCAGAGGCATTCTTCACTCCTTGAATAGTCCAATCATATTTGGTGGGATCATCAGCAATACACAATCCCAATTAATAGAATACTACGGCAAACATAACTTAATATTTGCCTGTGTATTTTAAAGAAGAACATGATACTAAAAAAGGGCAATCAGTTTGAAAACCAGTTTGCATTTTTAACAACATCAAAAGATGGTCCAGTTTATTATGAGTCGAAACTGAATTTACCGGATACATCATTATGGGATACATGCATACTCCAAAATAACTGGATACTATGACACCAGCAAGACTATGAACCAAAATAGAAGATCATAACAAGATTTCCAATTATCCGACCCTAGCTATAGGATGGAATACAAACGCAACCTGAAAAAGAAATGGACCCCAGGAGATGCTCTAGACCAGCTACATGAAATGCCACCCTTTATTGTGATTCTCTGGTCCAGCTTATTATGAGTCAAAACTGAAATTACTGGATAACATCATTATGAGGGACATGAAAACTCTGAAAGAATTGGATAGTGGATACTATGACACACGTAAGATTAAAAAAAGGTATACCCTGTGCGTGAGGCTCTAGCCATTGTGAGATCTGGGAGAGGTCAATGTACACAGCCTTACATCCAAATAATATAAAAAAGATCATCTTTGTAACTCGAACCCTTGGTCTCTCAAGTCATAAAAGAGCTACCTTACCATTGTATCGAGGCTACCGAAGCCCGCCCTCTAAGCAAGAAACATTATCACCAAAATAGAAGATCATGTCAAGCTATCCATGCATCAGACCACAACAATGGAATGGTACAAAAGGGCAATCAGAGAAAGGAATGGATTTCAAGTGATGCTCAAAACCAGCTGCAAGAACCACACCCTTCCTTTTTTGTGCATCCTTGGACAGTGTCTCATGGGGCCCAATCTACAATCCCAGAATGAGTACACACAGATACCATCTGTAGCGAAACATTCATCAGAAACAAAGTCATGCAAGTCTAGCACTAAATTGGGTAAACAATATATTTCTCTTGACATTCCACATCCATCCTCAATCGTCTTGCAACTTGATGAGCAAAATGAAAACAGAACCAACGTCGGTGAAACACTAACCGGGATCTATTTATCTGGCGTCGGTAGAATTCCATTCACAACTCCAAGAACACAGATACAAATAAAATTTAAAATATCATGTCAGAAACAGTAATGCAATCTCTGCTAAGACCACAAGAAAAGCCCCAAACCCTGATTGATTAACATGCATAACAGGGATAACAATAAGATATATACAAATGAGTGCAATTACACTTGAGAAGAAAATATATAGATTCCCTTTATGTTTGTTGAAGAGCATAGTCTCTATCACAAATCAAAGCCATCTTAGCCCTTAAGATATCATAATATAACACAACCATGTTAAAGCATGAAAGAGGAGGACTTGATGAACTCACCGCCCAGTAATGCTTGTTGGTAATGTCCCAGCCCCCTCGATACATCCTGAACTTGTTAAGAACGTCCGGCCTCTTCGTCCTCTTGGCCGCTAAGACCAACGGAAACCTCGCGTCGGGAGCCGTGGCGACAGGCCCCGACGCGATCGACGTCAGCTTCAACAGACCCTTCTCCCATGTCGGCAAGTTCTCTCCCCCTTCAATTTACATCGTCAACCAAGGAATCCATCAAACGGGAACAGCCAAAAAAGACGGAAAAGAATCTTATTGCATGAACAATACATATCAAATCGATCGAAATCCCAATAAACGTTCTTTGGAATGAAGAATTCAGTCTCGACCGAAGGTGACGGGATCGGATCCAAGCTTCAAGAACCAACAAAGAACGAAAAATAATCTCACCGACCTGGGATGGATTCTCCGGCGGTCCCTCCTCCAAACGCGGCCGGCGCCGCCTCGGAGACAACAACGAAAGCGGCGGAGGCGATGAACAACAGGACGACAGCTCCACCTCCGCCTCGGCCGCCGCCACCAGCCCCGGCGCCAAGGTCCATCACCCGATCGGAGAAAAAGATCCAGTAGGGGTTCGATCTCAGCCCCCGATGACAAGAAAAGCCGGGGAAAAGAGCGGCAGCTCTGCGAAGGTGACGGCTTTTAATCGGCGGGAGTGGAGAGAAAGTAAGGAAGCGAACGGGGGGTGCAATCTCTCATACCTCGAACGTTACCCGCAATGACGTGTCGTCTAAAAGGCACAACTGTGTGGATTGCGATGGAAACTCCGTGTGGGGTCCGTGTTTGCTTTAGGGTCAAAAGCAAGCGCCACGTTGTGGAGTCATGAAACGGGTCTCTGTCTTTGGTGGACTTACGTAACGCTTTGAATGGGGAACGGTACGACCGAATCGCCTGCTGACCCCGTGTCGTGAAAGTGAAAGGAGTGCCCTGCGATTCTGAGATAATCACCAAAACGCCACTGTTCCGTTTCCTTCGCTCTAACCAAAGTGCGCTTTGAGTGCACCACGATATGCGTGTTTGTGGCTGGTAGTAATATTGTTCACTTGTTAGGGGTATTATGGGGTACGAAAAAGAGAACGAGGATCTTCTCTAATTATACGAGCATTTGGAACCTTTAAATCACATCCAAACCGTCCATTAGAGCTAAACCCCATTCATCATCCGCAGGATCTTAACACCGTAGCCAAACCGTAAACACAAAGATTTTAGCTTGGAGAGAATCCCACCTGTAGGTTTGCGACACTGATTGGAGCCGTGCAATTATGATCGTACGACTATGAGAAAAGACAGGAATTTGTTTGCTCGTGCTCCAAATAGTGTGAGCATAGTAGACCGAGAAGACCATAAAGGTAGATACTGTCATTAGATGGCTTTACCGTGAATCAAACTAAAGGAGGAAAAGAACCTGTTCCACCAAAAGGGTTGGTCAAGATTTTTCTCTCGCCTGAGTATGCTCCTGAGGAAGCGAGAGAAGGGAAATGCTTAAGCAGGGACTGGTGGAATTTCACCAATTACTCAGATTGGTTGGAGACAAAGAGGATGAAATTTCCTTTGGTTTGACACTCAATAGTAAATGTATATGTCTGCTGTATAAGAAGCAAGATTACGATAGTGACGGCTGCTAATTTATGCGATTCTAAACGAGATATCTTATGCTGGAGCATGTGTCTTCCAGTGACATCTTAGCTTTCTCAAGATTCTCAGGTAGGATATGAGTATTCTGTTCTTAGGAAAGAGATGGTCCGACTATCTAGTTTTGGATGCTTGCATGTGATGCAGTGGGAAGAGAAGAGACTGATTTGATTGAATCTGTGGATGACAAAACAATGCATCTGTGATGGAAAAGGAGGAGGAAATAAAGCAGACAAAAAGGAACAAGAATAAGAACAGGGGGACCGCCTGGTACAAAGCTGCGATGCAACCGACGTTTTATTCTACTGTTGTCCATTCAGGTGGTTTGTCTTGAAGGTGACCGTGCCTTCTTCTTCTTCCTTCGTGCGTGATCGGTGGTGGCCGCAGACACGGAGGAAAAGGTGCAATAGATTAAGGGATCACACCATACCACATGGCCTTCCGCCATGCGAGGGAGCACGTCAGATGGTGGAGTGCACGCTGGGTTTGGTATACTGTTGCTTCTGCGTGATGGTGTTGATCATCTTTCACAGATGATCAGTATCTCTTCGTAGGCTGGGATGGTTTAGCATACGGCTGCTGGTTAATTAAGAAGAGAAAAGGAGAAGGGTGCACATGTTGTCGCCTTCCTTTTCTGGTTTTCTCCATCCTTCTCTTTCGGAGGAACCGATCGAGGGTGGAAGATAGACTGGTCTTCTTCAGAAAGCTATATACATAACTACCGATCATAAATGTTCTTAATCGACCTTTTCTCGAACGGCTTTAACAAGTTATAGAATTCAATGGAAACGAGTTGAATAAACGATGGAAGCTTTACGGGTTCGGTGCAGAAACAAAAGATTTCTTAGGCACAAAAGGACAATTGATAGAACCTTTCAACCACTACCAAACTCAAGAACTACCATTCTTAGTACTGAAGAAGACTTCAACTGCTATCTAATATAAAATCACCAGTAATAAACAATCAAGCCTTAGGCAAGGAAGAAGCATACTGTTCTGAGCCTCAGGGAGGTCGGAGGTGGTTATGGAAGATCTACTGCACCTACTTCTTTGGACTGGTCTTCCCTTTTCCTCTCCTATAATGGATATAAAAGCTACAATCTACAGACATCTGTTTGCGAGGGCAATCTACTCCTGTCCGCAAAGATGAGGGTTGTATAAGGTGGAAGAAGAGATGGGGGATGCGTGAGTGTGCTCAGGAGAGACAGTGTGGTGGGATTTGATGCTTGTCGCTGTGCTTCCTTCCTTTTATTTGTTTGTTCGATGTATGATAGAAAACTCGATTGCGATTCAAACAAAACCAACCATATAATGGTGTTCTGTGCATAATAGAGTTGAGGAACAATGAAACAATGGGTAAGCATCTAAATGCTAACAAAGCCAACTTGTTCCAACGTATGTGATCCCAGAATACATTGCTGCATGCAGACCATACTGAGCTCGGTCACTAGAACGATCGAGACATTAGTATCAAGATCACCGATGCCGGCATACTCAGCGCAAGCATCGCCATGGCGGCCAAGCCCACGCCAGGGCGTGCGTTCAGCAGGAAGACCTGCAACAACCCCATCAGCTCTGACACATCCGATCCGTATCTCGCGTGGTATCGCCTCTCCCACTCCATCCATTCCCTCGGGGCTTCGTAGTTGTTCTCCGCCACCTTCATCTCATGGATCCGCCTCCGAAGCGTGGCCATGTTCTCGTCCACAAGCCTGCCACCATAGTGCTGGCCGCCGCCGTCCTCCTTCCGAGCAGAAACCACGAGCCTTGATCTCTTCTTCTGGTGCAGGCTCGTTTTCACGAGGAGACGAGAACCCAAGGAGCAAACTGGGGAGACGAAAGAAGAGGTTGCCATGCTGTGTCGATAGATGATGCAGAGGATGACAAGAATGTGTGTATATATACATACAGGCACGGTGGTGGGACGCGGAAGCTTAAAGAAGAAAGCTGAACGAAGAAGCAAGCGTGTTGAGGTTGAAGGGCAATATCTCACGTTTTCTACGGCTGTGTGAGATCGATGTGACTGCTGTGGAACTTTCCTCGTTCTTATTAGCCCTAATCATACGTTTGCTTACGAGGAGATCATCGACATGTTGCTGTCGGCGAATATAATATCGGACAACGTAAAAGCTGTAAACCCATGCATGGAGAGACATGCGTGCTAGCTAAATCTTCCGGTAAACGAAGCAAAGTGTGGCCCAGTTTCCAGGTTTTCTTCTCTCTCTTTCTTCCTTGATGTGTCGATAATAAATGGCAATTTATTGGAGACGGGCAACGTGAATACCATTAATTTGATGTCTCCATGCTCATGCACAGAACCTTGACGTTGGCTGCCAGCAAAGATCTGCTCGTATCCAAATTAATGCAGCCTCGTGTCTTCATCCTCCAATACTTGAGAAATAATTTTAAAATGAGATGGAAAAAGAAAAGCTTCTAATTTTGAGGGGTTCATTCGAGTCTTTCTCACACATCTTGATTCGTTCTTGTTTGCCTTCATTGATGTTTGGACGGCGGCACTAAACCACCCTTATATCCCGAATGTTCTCGTTCTCCGACTGATCGAAAGGGCAGATCTCTTTGATGTTCTTGGACGAACAGATGTTTTCTTTCCTCAAGAACCAAAAGGCGGCTGCTGCCCTTCTCGGGTGCAAGTCTTCTCGATCTCGAATCGACCTCCTCTCGATCTACGCAGGGGCAAATCCAGTCGGTGTTCTTGAACGATGTCGAGAGTTCTGAACTCTTGTTCTTTCAGTGAGTTCTTTTTCGGAAGCTTTGCCGCGTCAATCAGCGAATACAACATTGCAGTCATTTTCTCGTCAAGAAGAACTTGAGAATTTTCTTCATGCGAGCAAGTATCTTTAAAAAGGGTAAAAATAGAAGAAAAAAATCATAATACAAGCTTTTGACAACAACTCTTCAGAGTGAAAGTATTGAAAGTTGTTTGCATGGCAATCACATCTACATTCGATTTCGAAGATCTGAAGCATATATCATCAATCTCATCAGATTCGTGGTTTTAGTTGGACTGTCTGCACCATGCAGAATAGATGCGGATGTAGGTAAAAGAATCAGTACTTGATGTGGAAATATTGACTCACTTGCTTCCACATGCATTTGCTTAAAGAACTTGATACAACAATTACTACCCATGCCAGATTCTGAAGTCAGGCAAGAAAAAAGAAAAGCCTACTGCTCACAGAGAGTTTCAGAGTTTCTGATACTAGGGGAATTCAGCAGGAAAAGAATTTGGTAGAACCAAATCCACTAACATTAGACCAAGTTGTAAGTACTTGTTGCGATTCCTGATCGCACTGACCTATCTATACCTGTTGTTGATGCGACGAATCGGGGGATACAAGCTGTTGATATTTTGGTTTGTTCTTCTTAAGCAGAAAGTAAGTGGTCCAGTACCAGAACATCAGTATTCTGGCCTGCGCAACAATGGTATCCCTCACTCGACTGCCTCCAAAGGAAAGCCTCTCCAAAGCCTGCCATGCCATAGAACGGAAGGTATTAATTGAAATCCTCAGAACAGTCACCATGCAAAAACTAAATACTAGTATGTTCAATGGACATCATTTTAAAGATGAGCCATTTTACGCTATTAGTAACTCGCACGTTGAGCACTTGACATTTGTCTTCTGTTTCTATCTAACAAGTGATCATAGATATGCTGCACCAGGGATACACACATTGCATCCAGTTAATATGGGCTATTAGTGATGCTGCAACCTAAACCGATCATCTTAGTTGAGAAAATGATAATGTCTTGATTCCCAATACTGAATTAATGGAAAATAGCATGTCTGAGATGAAAATGCAACTAAAAGATAATGCTCAAACTTACAGATCAAAGCAATATCCTCTGAGAACACTAAAATGCTGCACCAGTTTTCTATAATTATATGATTTATTAAAATCTATATTCATTTACTTGGCAAGTCTATCAGTAAATTGACTTCATCTTTTTGTTTTTCCTTTCTACAGGTTAATTCTGCCTTTATCCTGGAGATGATGTTCTGTGATAGATACTTTCGAATTCCCCTCATACCTGTTCTCCAGTTTGGATATCATACGAATGTTGTTGCTCAAATTGAAGGCCACTGAATTCGTTAATGCAAAGCCCCTGGAAGGCCCTGAGAATGGAAAAACGAATATGGTTGTCACTAACCGATCCAATTCATGATGTCACAGAATAATTAGTACCATCTTATCAGAGGAAAGAAAAAAAAAGTGTCTTGCGTCACCGATGGTCTGATGAATAGTGTCACAGAATAGGCATACCATCTTATCAGAGAGACTCGAGGGATCCAACGAAAGACCAGAGGTGTATTCTCAGCATTAACATAATAACCACCAAAAACAATGAACACAGTCATCAGGGATGGGCCCACAGCCATTGCTGCTTCAGTTGAAGGAACCATAGCCCCAACTGTCAGACCCATTGCAGAAGCAGCAAAGGACTCCATCGTCACAATGCCACAAAACCTTGCAAACCTGCTTCAAGAGTTGTGTGTCAGGTATACACAAAAACAACTAATACTATATTAAAACTGTGACACTCTTATGAAATGACTATGGCCTTGGTTTGTCGAAGCGAGATAAGCTGAATACTATAAATTGCTAGCATGATACATGGATGAAGTAAATGAGGAAAAATGGTTAGTAATTTGCTACTGTGAGAATCAACAAAAAACAATAGCATATGCTTGCCACTTGGAAAATAGAACCTAATGTGTACATGTAGATATCAACCACGCATGAAAAAACACTACTGTATAATTACAATAATATATAAGGAATAAACATCTAAAACTGACCTGGTAAGAGTAGGATGGAGACGAGCCATTGGATATAAAATTGTTCCAAACATCAAGGGGAATGCTGCTCCTATTGGGATTTCAGCTAGCAATTTGGACAAAAGATAAGGACCCAATGCATAGGAATCTTTGGCACGTTCTCGATCAACAATGGCACGCTCCTTTGGAAATACACCTACTGTTTTAGTTAGAGCTGCCATTGCTGTGTTAATTGCAGCCACCTTTAGCCAACAAAAACAAAGATCTGAATCAACTATGTGTTTAATTATACTAGCACTCTTGTTTTTTTTAATATAATCATCAAGACAGAAACTCCAATGATGCACATTGCAAGTACTTTCTGGCGGTGATACGTCATGTGTGCACAACTGAGTTTGGAATGCAAAACTACTTGAAAAATCCTGCCATGGAGAGAGAATACACGTGCACACCTCTATTTTGAAAAATGAAATTTACACAAGCAAATAATGAAAGAAAAAAAAATCTATTTATCTAGTGCTCATTATCTTGGTGAATGTGGCTCCGTTATGATTGATCTACCATTATGATTGATCTATGTTCATAAATATCCCAATATGGGAAGAAAACAAAGATTTCTATGTGCCAAGAAGTTTAACCTTCTCAAAAGAAAATTAGCTGGCATTTAAGAACATCCACATTTCATGCATTCAAATGCCTTTTAGACATTTTCTCAACAGCAGCATGATAATGAAACCCTTGCATTGTGCAAGGAAAGATATCTTGCAGATGATATTTACTCTGTTTTCACCAAACACTTCATATGATATACTCCCATCGATTAATCACAGAAGCTCACATTTCATTTGCCAAAAAATATTTTAGAGGCCCCATATTTTAGGAGTTTGCAACGTGGATCTAGGAGTTCTTCATTCCAGTTCTGTCCCATACGCTGAGGATACCCCATAGAAAACTCAACCCCCTTTGTTTTTAGTACACATGAAAAGCATATGTGCAGCTTTAGTTAATTCAGACAATAAAAGGTTTACACATCTCACTTCCACATGCTAAACAAATAAAGAATTATAGTTAATAACACAAGAATCAATTAAGAGATTGCAAGCCACCAAGCATGAATGTCAACCAGATCTAATCAGCTAAATAGCTAGTTTGCAAACAATTAAATGCACTAAAGACACGAGAAAACAGAGGGTGATGCATACTTGAAGAAGTCCCATCCTATCTTGTATTGATGTTTGAGTTCTTCCCATTCGCCAAAAAACAGATCCAAATATGATAGCTGATGCAATTGACATTCTTGCCCTAACTTTGTTTGTTGGACCATCACGAGAAGCCTGAGCACAATAACAACCTCTGAATATTTTCAAAGCAAATATGAACAGTGACTATCGACACAGTGATTAATGATAATTTTCCTATTTAAAAGGAAAGAGTTATAAAAATTCTCTGGTCTCTTCACCCATATGGGGGGTCAATAAATTAAGAACCAAATGACATAGAATCTGATAGTGTCAGTGAGATGTCATCTTGTTTTAAATTAGCTAAAATATATTCAAGTTAATATCAGCTGGATATGGGATTTTTGGGAATTTTTCAAGATTATGGACCCAACACTCTGAATCTCCTGATGTCACACTTTTGACAAGATATAAATTTTTCATTAAAATTAAGGACATCTAAGCAGCAGAACACCTCTCTCCAACCCTTTTTTTAAAGCCCGACAAAAGGAATTAAGAGAAAAGGTAATAGATGACAAACCTGCATCCATGCTCGCTTAAGGAGCAACCGGAACTGCCTCCACCAACCACTTCTCCTCTTTACCATGGTTTTCTTGCCAAATTTTGCGGAAACCTTGGAGTCATCCAACTGCATAATTGGAATTGTGCACTGAATCATGAAACTGCTTTTTGAGAAAACTTCAATCAGATCATCAATTCTTTGCTGAGATGAATGCACACTTTCAGCTGAACTATAATCAACTGAAATCAGATCAGCCAGAAATTCAGCAGGGTTCACATGATCAGGACATTGGTACCTGCCAAAGAGGCATCAGGTAACTCAAGAATCGCAATAACTTGACAAGTCAGTATAGCAAGAAACTAGACATCAGTGTAAAAGAATCCCACTGGTATCAGTCACCAAAAAGTTTCTGATACAAACAATAAACCATTCCATGGCTGTTTTACTCTTGACACAATGATAGTTTATTATTTGCATTGGCATGCTACATGCATTGGCATGCTACATACTCCTGTCCATCATTCTGTTCCACCATACCTCCAATTTTGTGTATCTCAAGTTAATAGAAAATGGGAATTCTATTAACTTGAAACTTGCATCGATAGTTTGTTAACATTTTGTTCTATTATCATTCTGGTCTACTATATTCTGTTAATAGAATATGGGAATTCTATTATTATTCTGTTCCACTATTGACACAATGATAATTTGTTATTTGCATTGAAGGGTAACATGAAACTTCAAAAAACATAATCAACTTCTAAGAATAGCATATATGAGCCAGATAACTGAGTAATAACCCGAATTTAGCAAAGTATGTCAATGGTTCATCCTTCGCCGGACCCATGTATACAAGTGCCCCCTCTGATAACAACACAATGTCATCGAATTTGCTATAAACCGAGCCTCTTGGTTGGTGTATTGAGCAAATAACAGTATGGCCATCCTCTGCAAGCTGTCGAAGTGTTTCCATAACCTTCTCTGCCTGGAATGCATCAAGACCTGCATGTAACACAGACCACTCACTATCAACATGTATAAGAATCAAGTCATAGTAAAACAATAATCTCTATCATTCATCTTTAAAAAATCTGTTTCTTTTCTTTTTAAACAAAATTTCTCTCCGACAATCTAATAGTGCTCACCTTTCCCCAATCCAATTAAGGACAGAATCTGTATTTGTTAATTAAATTTGCTTAAAATTATAGGTGAGGAATAATTAAAAATTATACACTTCTTAAAGCAGAGTGGTCACTTCGTGGTCTACCGCCTACTCAAAAAGTACTTCTTTCTTGATCTACTATCCAAAGTAGTAAATGTATATGACCGGCTATTATGTTACACAGTATAGTGAACTATTCAGAAAAATGCATGCGGCCAGTTAATATGATTATTTCTTTTTAAACAAATTGTTCCTTCAACAGTTAAGTGCATCTTCCCTTCTCCCAAGTCCAGTTAAGATGCAGTATCTGTCCTCCTGAAAACTATATCAATGAATTTGTCTGAATTAGAAGGTACGAATGCAGTAAAATATGTAGTATACTCTTTAAAGTAGTTGTTAGTTTCATTGTCTACTTTCTAATCAAAAGAGTTTTTCTTAATCAACCACAAAATCAAATGTTTGCAGTGGTATATGTGTATGTGGCTGACAGCTGACTATTATATCACATGTAGTGAACATTCAGGAAAAGAACAATTCCGATTAAATTGGAAATAGAAATAACATATGATGATATGACAATGATACCAGTTGTTGGTTCATCTGCAAATATGACAGATGGACTAGCAATCAGTTCGCAAGCAAGTGCAAGGCGCTTCTTTTCACCACCACTGATTCCACGGACTTTGGCATCACCAACGATAGAATCAGCACAATTGACCTTTTTTAGCAAAATGTTATATCACCAACAGGGAGAAAGCAAATAAGTATAATTTATAAATTGCAGTCATAAAATGGAGAGAGAGAGAGAGAGAGAGAGAGAGAGAGAGAGAAAGTTAGGTACCAATTGTCGGTAGAAATATCTATCCTATGCATGTTACATGTGATAATTACTGTTAGCTTTTGGATGAAAAATAATTCAAAACATAAGTTGGACTAACTAGTTAGACTAGATGAACTTTTAAATGAAAGGGAAAATAAATCTTATGTATAGGTGTTGCTATGTGCATTTGCAGACGTAGCATAGACAACAAAACTGGGGAACTTTTTAGATTATTCTTCAGGGAAGAGTTCACCAGAGAAAAGATTGTCTCGATTTCTAGCTTCATTTGATGTGGAGTTTACTGAAAATACTGCTATCAAAACTCTTATTGGTATCATACTTCCATTTTAGTATAGTCATCTTCAGATGCTTACCAAGCCCAATCGGAACAAGATGCTGCTGACATACTTATCCTTCTTCTCTGCTAACCATGTCTGAGGAAGCTGAAGTTCAGCAGCCAGTAACAGCGTTTCTCGTACTGTAAGTTGTGAGAAGAAAAGGTCCTCCTGCCTCAAATAGGCAACCCTGCAATATAAAGATCCTAACTGGTGAAAAAACATGACCAATTCACTCTCCAGAGTGGCAATGCAGTACGGTGGCGGTGGCACGCTAACAATCCTTGAAAAACCTAGATCAAACAATGTCCGAACCGACTTACTTATAACCTTCGCTTGGCATTGGTAATCCGTTAATATCCAAGTGTCCCGATAAGTGCAACCGGGAAGAAGCCATGAGCTGCCCTGCCAGTACATTAAGCAAAGTGGTCTTCCCCGAACCTGACGGGCCCATGATTGCAAGCAATCTTCCGGGTTTCGCCTCCCCACACACATTTGATAGCAGAAACCTTGTCTAGTAACAAAAAGAAGATGAAAACACAGAAAAAAAATGTACATGATTCGAACCAATATACATTTAGCAAACAATTCGATTCTTTCCAAATGCTTTTCAAATTGATTGCCCAGCAAACACTGATGCAACTATATTCGATCATTTCAGAACCTAAGGAATTAAATCCAAAGCTTTAAATGCTGAGTTCACCTAACAAAGGGACAGACGCAAACAAGTGGGGGTCGTCAAGCGCCTCTCCAGAAGCATATAGCAGGGAGAGAAGCGGCTGCTAGCATACGCACACGTGTGACAAGATAAGGGTCCGGGGAAGGTTTCCACGGTCCATATATGCTTACCCGTCTGCCACGCTTATCGGAGAGAGTGCAGGTGATGCCGCTCCACCGGATGGTGACCGGAAGGACCTCGGCGGAGACCGGAGCCTCCTCGTCGCCGGCCGGCTGCTGCCCCTCGTCATCCTCCTCCTCCCCTGACGGCGGGAGGGCGGGTCCGGCACCGGATATAGCCCGGAAGAAGAACGCCGCCGCCAGCGCCGCGAGTATGCGGCCCAGCCCCCTGCCGTCGAATCCTACCACCATCTCTTCTTTTCCTTACCCTCTGCTCTCACTTCCCCTGTGCGTTCGGAATCGAGGGAGAGGACAGGCATCGAGCTGCTGGTCCACACAAACGCCGAAGGATAGCTAATCGCAGGCGACAGCTTTGGGCCGTCGCAAGGTCAGTCCAACTTTTGTTTCTGGGCCGGGCCCACAATGTTTGTAATATTCATATTTATTTATACCTCTATATTTTACTTTCGCGACTTTGATTGACAGTGAGTTGACTGCTCAAATGACATTAACGTCCTTATAGTCCGTGCAGTAAGATATTTCCACGGTTGGTGTGCCGACCCACCAACTCGCGTGAATTGCACGTGCAAGATAATAATCCATAACCAGCATTAACTTGCTATCCTAATCTAATTTGGTGAAGCACGAATTCACAAACAAATCACAACTTGCCATTAACCTTATCATCTATTCAATTAATTTTTTTCATTTAGTAAACTGTAATAATTATTATTATTTTTATTTCTAAAGAGTAAAAAATTATGACGACAACTAAAATATTCCAAAATAATTGATGCCATACTTTAAATAGGCAATGCAATAAGCCCATTCACTAAGCATACGGAGCTCTGAAAGAAGAGCATTTAAATAGCATTCCATGGTCGCAAGCAGCACATAAGGAACCGCTTCGGGAATCGGTTTCCCCCGTTGCCTCTTTAATCGTTGGGTCGTCGGAGCTCTCTTTCCTTTCCTGTCTTCCTTTCTTCTCTCCGTCCGTCCGCCTCGAGATCGAGTCGTCCACCGCAGACCCTAATCCCGTGGTTCTGAGATCGAGCAAAGCCGTGATACTAGCTTAGGTGCGGTGCCCCCTTGATCCCCGGCGTCGAGCCTAACCGTAGCCCTAAACTCCATGCGCCTCGGGTCATGGCGGGCGGGAGATGGCTCTTCCCCCTCGTCTCCGTCTCGTTCGTTGCAGTCCTCCTCGTCCTCTCCGCCATCTCCGGCTTCATCGCCTCCTCAGCCTTCTTCGCTGGCCAGCCGGACGCCGCCGATGTTCACCGCGGCGCAGCCCACCCGCCGGCCTTCGCGTACTACATTTCCGGCGGTCGCGGCGACGCCTCTCGGATGATCCGCCTCCTCCTCGCCGTGTACCACCCCAGGAACCGCTACCTTCTCCACATTTCTGCCGATGCCCCTAACTCGGAGCGCGCGGATCTGGCGATCCGCGTCCGGCTCTCGATGCCCGCCGTAAGAGCGTTCGAGAACGTGGACGTGGTGGGCAAGGCCAGCCCCATGACCCCGATGGGGTCGTCCGAGCTGGCTGCGAGGTTGCATGCTGCGTCGGTGCTCCTCCGCCTCGATGGTAGCTGGGATTGGTTTGTGACCTTGAATGCAGCGGATTATCCGCTGGTCACGCAAGACGGTATGTGATCCTGTTTCATTAAGATTTTTCTTTTGGATCTTAGTGGTAATTAGTGTTCCGTCTTGGGGTAAAGAAAATGGGAAAAAGGAAATTTTCTGAATTTTAAGCAATAATAAATTAAGAATCTTTTCCTCATTAAACCAAATGTAGATTGGGAGGGTTGGGATTTTTTTTTTACCCTTAAATATGTTAAAAATTATTGTTTTGTTGTTTCGATTTGTTCTTGTTGGTTCTTGCACTAGAGTGATAACAAAGGCCGATTGTGACCGTTCCAGATTTGCTATGTCTACCTGAAATTAGCATGAAATATATGCTTCTTTTAACTTTTAACTGGAGAAGTATTGCCTGTAAGTCCTATCTGAAACACTGGAACTCTTGTTTCTCTCACTTTGATATGCCACCGGAACATCAATTTGAAGACATGGAAGCACGCTTTTTTTTTTTGTGAAGATAACCTGTGGCTGCACTTTGTAAACCAATCTAAACATTTGTCTCATGTGGATTTGGATATACCGTAATTATTAAATGGTTTAGATCAGATTGGGAGCAAACATCATGGTGCTCTGACATAAGTAATCATGCTCTCTTTTAGTGCCTGCCTTCACTGAAGCTTTGTTGGAAAATGAAGTAGTTTCTGATCTAGGAACAGAGGATTTCCTTTGCCAAAGAAAGAACCTATTATTTTGCTTTAACAGATGTACAAATATGCACAGAGATAAATTAATGGGTTGTTTTATTGTCTCATGGTATTTTAATAAACTAAACATGTTGAAGACTTGATAAGTTGTAAAAGGCCAAAAATCATGCAGGGGTTCATGCTCATCTTATTCATATTTTTCGTACTAAAAATCAATAGGGAATTTTGCTCATATTTTGTTTGTTTATATGGTTGATCATCCTCATCTTGTTTTCTCGACTTGAATCCCTTAGTTGTTAATTGTTTCCGAGTATTCTTTTCTTTTGAATTGTATTTTGAAAGATGTGAAATATTTTGGTGTTGTAGAGAGTATAAAAAGCTCTACAATGTTTTTAACTCTCCCCAGAGGGACTTTTAACTTATTAAATATTTGTCTTGTCTTTGTTTCAGATATGATTCATGTTTTCTCGTCTGTGCCTAGGGACTTTAACTTTGTGGATCATACCAGTGACCTTGGATGGAAAGAGTGGGTACATGCCATTTAAGTTTCATGATTTGTGAGATTTGTTTCTTCAGCTCCTCTGAAGTTCTCCTATTGTGTCCTTGCAGATATCAAAGGGTGCAGCCTATTATAGTCGATGCAGGCATCTATTTGGCAAATAGGAAACAATTCTTCCAAGCTTCACAGAAGCGGGACACTCCTGAGTCCTTCAAATTCTTCACAGGTAAAGAATCTTTTGTTTGTGTTTTAGATGATAAAGCCCATTCTTATTTAGCCACGTGCAGGTTCGCCATGGGTTATTCTGAGCAGATCTTTCATAGAGTACAGTGTTTTAGGTTGGGACAATCTTCCCCGAACATTACTTTTGTACTTCACGAATGTAATACTGTCCCAGGAAGGCTATTTCCATTCAGTCATGTGCAATTCCCCTGATTTCCAGAACACAACCATAAACAGCAACCTGAGGTACATGGTGTGGGATAATCCTCCAAAGATGGAGCCTCATTTCCTGAACATGACAGATTTTGACAGGATGATGGAAAGTGGAATGCCTTTTGCAAGGCAGTTCCATCAGGATGACCCAGTGCTCAACAAAATCGATGACAAGGTACTCGGACGTCGGCACCATCAGGCTGTTCCTGGGGCTTGGTGCTCCGGGCGCAAGAGATGGTGGACAGATCCATGTTCCCATTGGAGCAATGCCAACATCATGAGACCTGGTCCACAAGCTGAGAAGTTTGCTCAGGTGATGAAGGATCTTTTAGACAAATGGAAGTCTGATTCAAGGTCATGCAAAAGCCACGAGAATGCCACGATTAGTTCCTAGAACCTCAGTGGCGTGCCATTCAGCCATTTCCCCACGCAGGGAACTAGCATTGGTAGGATGGATTTTGATACGGAGGTGGTGGGTGGTTCATTGTTTTGATGCTGGTCTGGCTTTAAAATTTTCCTGTATATTATTCAACTAGCTACGGCGATACAATGCATTTTAGAGGCCAGCATGTCATCAAAACCCAATAATATAACTTCTTTCTTTTAATACATGTAGTCTCATGAGTTGTATACGTGTATGGTATGGTGTGTGACTCTGGAATCCTTTGCCTTGTATTGCATTTTGTGTAATTAGTCAAAACAATTGCATGGATGTGGCAGTGTGGACTTGAGATGAGCCACCCTCGGAGAAAGAAAGCACTCTGGAAAGTTGTGATTCCGAGAGGCTCTTCAAAACACAATTTCTAGTGTGCAAATTCTACGATTACTGTAAGCAATAATAAGATGTCAGCCATTAGATGAAGTCATTGTTGATCTCGAGTGTGCGAACTCAAAAAGGATTCCAAAGTTAAATTGTGTACCGAAGGAACATGTGAATAAGTCAAGCAAAAAAATGATTTTAAGTCTCTTATTCCATAAAATTAGGAATCAGCTCGGAATTAAACTGAGAGAATCTATTATATGTATACTGAAATATGCTTTTTGTGTTGTTATACCTTTCTTTTTTTACTTTTTGTTTATTGTAATCAGATTATTTCTTTAAGTGTCATTAAGTTCATTAGTACTAAAACAAAGATAATACCACAGTTTAATTATAATGTCATAATCATGATATATATATATATATATATATAATAATAACACATTAATCATAAATATAAATATTTATGATTAAAGTAAGTGATTATGTGTAATAAATAAGGCCCATGGCGGTTTTAATTCTTTTCACCGGAGGTGAGACTAAGAAGTCGAAATTCGAAGGATTTAGACGTCAAAAAATATTTTTTGAGCATTTGTATCAACTGTTGTGTATGCGGTAACCTCACATTCGATGGTCACACTATTATCAGGAAGGTCGTGACGGATTTAAATGGCACGACGCATAGCTTATCGTCTTCGAAAATGGAAATGAGCGAATAGAGATGGTTCTGGCGAGTATCGTCTGCGATCCCCGCGCCTTTGCTCGATCCGATTCTTACACGATCATCCTTGGGTTATTGGTGAGTATTATTATTCTCTGCGATTTCTCCTCTGCTCGGCTCGATTTGATTCTCGTAAGTTCATCCTTGGCTTTGGTATCTTCTTGGAAGAATTGAGTAGTTCCTTTACGCATTTTCTTCGTAGTGTCAAGCTGCGTCAACGGGATGCTTGTTCTTCTTGGATGATCCGGCGGTAAATGGGCTTGGTGATGGTTTTCCTTCCGATTCATTTCCATCTCACGGCAATTTCTATTCTCTTGCGGTTGGAATTCGAACACACAATTAAGTCATCGATTGCAATAAGTGCTTATGTAATGTGAATTTGAAGATCAAATCCGATCTACCCTTTCCGCAACACATGGTCACAGAGACACTACAAAATTGTCATGACACCACCATGGACCACATTTCGAACAATCGCCGTAGAGAGACTTCGAAGACAAAGACATTGATATTTTTTTGTCTTTTGATGATCCTAGTTCCATATTTTATACTAATTAATGCATGAAATATTAATAGAAATAAAGTAACAGGAGATCATTCGATCAACCATTAATGCACATATGTTTGTCCATTGAAATTTTACATGGCATTCTACACTGACATGTTGCCAAAGAAAGGAGAAAGACTTGTAAAAGTGTTAGCCTTCTCAATTCATGCATATAGTGTTCTTTCCTCTCATGAGCAGAAATCATGCCTGAAAGTTCCCTCCACTCCTTGATCAAAATAAATAGAGAATTACCTCCTGTTAACGTCTTTCGTTTTTCCTCCTCCTCGATTGAGCTTTTTGCCACTTCTTTCGAGGGACAAATTTGCTTTTTGGCTTTAGTTTCAACTCAGGCGAAAATTTGAAATTTGGATCTCTCATGCGCGCTTGTATATCCTTGAAGAATTGCATATTTAGCTTCTTAGGCCCGCCTTCTCGAAGCTCTGCATACTCTGGCCCTGAAACGATGTTTTCGAAAGCTCCAATCAGGATATCGATGTCACTCATCACCTCCCAGACATTTATGTACCGCCCGTCTGGCCCTTTCTTTAACTTCTTCAGTGCATTTTCCACAGCAAGCTTTCTCGCTTGCTTTCCTGGGGACAACTCTGGGGGGTCCTTTTCGGCTTTCAACAGCTCTGAAATGGTCCTGTACTTGGGTGTCTCCTCAAACTCAAACAATTTGTCTATGTGTTTATCACTACGTTCATTCGAGTGTGACTCAGTAGGAATATCATCATCGTCGTCATCCTCACTGCCACTCCACAGGGCAACCTCTTCATCACTTTCCGAACACAAACTTCTCAGCTCATCGCTCTCATCACCATCGATGAGGTCCGAGTTCTCCTTTGCCTGCTTCCTTATCTTCTTAATTGCCCTTTCCAAATTTCTGCTGTCCTTCTCATTATCTTCTTCATCATCCTCGCTCGCAGTCCATAAACAGTCATCCTCATCCATCTCTTCTGCCCAAGCTTTTCTGAATTCTTCATCGCCAGGCCTTCTATTACCGAACAAGTTATAATGTGTTCGCTCACGAGCGTAGGATCGTGATACTGGAGAACCAATAAGAATAAGGCTTAATAAAAACACAAAATAACACATAGAAGGAATGACATCTCACAGTGTGATACGTTCTCAACGAGTGAAATTTCCTCTAAAATAACATTGAGCTTGAAGCAGTTACCACTTTCAAGAGAACTAATTTCACATAAACAAGCAGTAGAAAACTAAAAAGAAGTCGGTAAACTCTTCTTGATCATGACTGCCTGGATAGCTAAACCAAGAAAACATATTGGAATCCCCCAGTTTCTAATTCCAAACCACTACTACTGTTGTTCAGTTCATTCAACTTTTATAAGATTGCAGTCTGAGATGAGGCTAAACCAATCATCGATATCTCATGAAGTTTGACGATCCTTTTTTTCTCTCGAAGGATTTATATTCCATACCTTTGCTGTCGTCACTCTGTGTGGAGGACACAGAGGCATATCATCGAACACAAAGTTGTCATGGGTAGAAACGAATGATGCCAAAAAGACTTCCAACTATTTTAGGTTTAAGCCAATCAAAAGGTAGTTTCTTGGAATAGGAAGCATCGATCATCGCACGTAAAACTCCGATCATAAATGCTTCATGACAACAAGAGGAGAGAACGGACCTTGTAGGATAGGATTAAGATGTCCTGCACTGGTTCTTCCGCCACGGTGCACGCTTGCTAGACCGGGCGAAAATTCAGGCCTGGAATCGAGACCCAAAGAAAGCGAGTTAAGGAAAGACGACTAGACGACCGTAAGCAGGGCAAAAAAGAACCGGAAGCAGCGGTAACCTATGCGACAATGGAAATCGAACGAAACGTAGACGAGCCAACAGCCGCGCCATCACAGTTTCTGAAGGGGGAGGTCCGATACATATTGGCTCTCGTGCCCTGCCACGCGGATGGCTTTAAGAATGGCGGTGCACATTATTTTCAGAATATATAGGCAATTTTTTTAAGAATATATATATATATATATATATATATATCTCACCAAAGCTCAACAGAGAATGACTGCTGACCCAACGTATGGAGCCGCTTAGAGGTCATAGGAATAGAGTTTCCGAGTCCGAGGTGCCTTCCCATCTCTCAAGAGTCGGTTGGCATTGGAACGGAAGAACGCGGCTGTCACATTTCCATTAGTTTGTTGTTCGCATTAAGAAAAAAAAAGATTAATGATGAACCAAGCAGACTTCCCTCTTCCCTAGCAAAACATCAACACCGCAAACTCAATAACTTATACCATCCAGAATTTTTTACACTAACTTCTTGATTCAATCACACGAAAAAAAGACCGGCAGTTCATTGTGATTTGGAAGCATGACTTTTCTTATCTGAAAAGAAATACAAACGATCTTCATCGACCTTCTTGATCTGAAAGTTTGTTACATCACAAAGACCTGTTTACCTAAGTTAAATGCGATTGCCGTGAAACCACATTGTAGAACACCAGGGAAACCATGGTGGATGCTAAATCCGAAATGGACAAAACAATGTTTGCCTCACTGAACAAAATTTTTGAGAATATGGAATTCATATGGGACAACAATCTTTTTCAGAAGTTGGCAGTTAACGATACTGGTGGCGGTAAGCCAGAATTATGAGATGGCTGCCATATGGGACAACAACCTTTGCAAGCGCCCAACTTTTCCCGACTTAAGTCAAACACCATGCTAATATAACATGTCCAAAACAAATCATGGAGAAGAAATCCGTAAGTTAACACCACCACAACTGGATCCACCATTTAATTTTACTGGGCAGCTTGGAGGTTAATTCACTTCTTCAGAAGGTACAATTACTGGAGAGAACTGCAAATGACAGCACAGACAGATCAACTTCCAGAGCTTTGAAGAGAAAGCTAAATCATGTTTAGTTAGTAATTAACAATATCAACCTCATCCCCTTCGTTGCAGATAACTTCCATCACATCTGCAAAATCCCACCCAAGTGCAATCTCCAGCAGTCTCTTTAGTTTTCTCATCTGCAAATAGCATTACCAGTTAACATGTTAATGAAGGTCTTTAGATAAAAGGAAAAGAAGAAGACCCAAAAAAAATCTCATAATCCATGCCCACTGTCATTCATAAAATGCACATAGAAAACAAATACCATACACTGTCATTCACAAAAAGCACTGAACTTTGGTTTGCCCTAATATACCAAGTGATACACAATCTATATATAAGAATTAGAAAAGCAGTAATTTTCAAGAATAAAGATTACAGGATGCTGAATGAAAATTTTAAAAAGGTTTTAACATTCAAACCCATAACAGCAGGTCACCATCAACAACTGGGGACTCCAGCACCAATGGGAAGAAATCCTGAAAAATTCAAACATGATCAATAACTATGACACTGACCATTAATACTTAAAAATCGCTCACTAAAAGAACTAAACCAATTTAGACAAACCTTTTTATGAAATTCCATCTGGAAAAAGTTCAACTAGAAAAAAAAAAAAAGCAAGATGACTAATGCTAAAATACAAAAACAACACACTTTGACAAGAATCTTGATCGATCATTAATCTCATTCTAAGGCTCACATTTGCTTATCACACGCCAAGTAGTTCTTGATTTATTGGCAAAACAGTGATCTAGACCACACGTTAATAGGGGCGTGAAAGCTAAGGGTATTACACTAATAATGCCCATACATAGTTAACCAAATGATAGAGATTACCTTGCACAAACGGAACAAAAAGATGTCCTTTGAGAACCACACATCATCCAAGAAAAGGGATATTCCTTTGCCTGAATCATTCCCATGATTTTGTTTTTTATGAAAGCCATGCTTGAGTTGGGAGTAGAGGACTCTGATAAACTGCATGCGGTGCTATTGCAATCAGATATATGAGGAAAAAAAGGAAAATTCTTCGCTGCTAGTAATTACAAGCAACACATTATTGAAAAGAAACTCGTGTCCATATCACAGAAAAGTATACTGTTACCAAAGCTAAAGCTTGAATAAGAGTTTTTGCAACTATATGATGAACTAGAGTCAACACAAATCCTAGTTGATACTCCTTTGGCTATGTTACATATATATCCTCATCCATAATGAGGATATATATGATTTCATAGTAAGGCTCTCCAGATGTTCCTTTTTTATTCTACCATCAGACAAGAAAGACATGCTGACAACTCAATATACACGACACAGGACAAGCACCAGGAAGCATGGGCAAAATATCATTCTCATGTGACAGAAGAAGTTCCAATTTATAATTTTTTAATAATCAATAAAACCTTCAAATATATTAAAAAGCACATTTATGTACCTTTTAAAGAGATATTTCAATGTCAGTTGCATGTAGACCTTACAATAACACATTTATCTTTCGATAGGTAAGGAGTCATATCCTTAGTTAAGAGTATTTTAAATTTTATTAACAGTTTCTATTAAAATATTTTTAGATTTTCATATACTTCTCATACCACTAATCGTAATCATTTCATTTCTTCTTACTACCGCATCTATAAGTCTTCTTATATCATTTTAAACGAAGTTCTCTTATTTTATTTTTATCGAAATGAATGAAAATATTTTTTTTCCTATCTTTACTAGTAAATTGAACAATATAAACTTTTTATAGCTGTCCAACTGCTGCTCAAGACTCATGTAGACCTTTAGTCCTAGTAATTAGATATTTAGGACTGCAGCCAAAATAGTACTACAATCATAGACCATAGACTTAATCCAAATTCTCCAACCGAAGATACCTGTGAATACTGTTATGCAATATGAAGGAAATAACTTACTATTTCATCTTTTGTTTCAAAATAGTGTTCTTAGATTGTCATTCAGGAGTAGATATTTTAAATACAGTTAATTGACCAATGTCTGTTGAAATTACCTTGGAGAATAGCTGAGTCCTTGTCCGAAGTGGCTGCAAGAAAGAGACAAGAATATCAAAGTCATATCACCGTTTAAGCATAATTCCACTCAAGCAACACAATTACATCACATGCAAGACAAACAAAATTGTTACTGCAAAAAAAAAAAAACATCTGTTATCTCATCCAAGGTTTGTAATACCGCCAAACAGAGGTGGTACATGCCATAACTACCCAGTATAGGGTCAGTGCCTCCCGGTACAAGAAGGTACACGATCTGTTTTTTTTTTTAAATATTTTTAAGCTTTTTTTGAAACTCAATACATAATGGCACACTGGCACTCAGTACACTGGTAGAGGACCAGCACAGTACCAGTCATTTTTTTGAACAAAGATCAAAACAGGTGAGTCATTTAAAGACAGGAAAAAGGATAGGCAGTCAAACAAAGATCTAAACAGAATCATAAAATCATAAAAGCAAAGCAAAATTATTTAAGCTCCTTTCTTTTATGAAAAGTAACAAAAGAATCATTTAAGCAAGCAAGAGCTGTTTGTGTCTGTTTAACTAATACACGAATATTGCAGAACTCACAGCTTCTGTACAGCTTAAAAGAAGGCTAATTAATGATTTCCACTGTAGAAAGGCTTCAAGTGATTGCCCCATCTGCAAGATCCACAATTAATGAAAATACAAGGGCTATAAATTTACCAGGAAACACATGCCACCAGACACATACCATAAATGCAACAAAAGCAAATTGTAGTTCCCCCAAAAGTGAATCTTCTTCGCCTCCATAGTCTTTCATCAAGATTGCTTCCAGTAATTTTGTCTGAAGGAAAATGTATCTCATTAGTCAATGCATAAAAACTCTTTAGTAATGTGACCCTTTAGTACACAATCTAAATTAAAAATGTCATTAGTAAGCCTTTAACCCAGCTAGATAACATTCAAATAAACTTTAATATCTAAGGAACAACTCCATGGGTTGTAGGAAGGATTTAAGTCCACAAAATCAAAGAAATTAAAGTAGCAAATAAGCCACCAGAAGATAGATTAAATTATAAACATAAACTGCTGTATGGCTTCTTAACAGGCAAATATTGTATCACATTGAAGTGTCATACACAAATGCCATTGTTTCTGAACCATTGGTGTAATAAAATATAAGTTTGAGCAAAATTAGAATCATGGTGTTTACACACTAAATAGATATCATCATATTGTGCAACACTCCTAAATATTAGCACTATTTTGATACCAAAACAACTAAAATGCAACCCATCTATACACTCTCAATTTCCTAATTTTGTGCTGATACAAAGTTTAAATCAATAAGTTCATGTTGGAAAGCTTTATCACGAAAGTTATTGAATGTTAACCAATGTCCCACTTTCTATCAGACATTTCAATTTAAACTTTCTTTTTAAACCGATTCAACAGAGAAAATGTTTTAGCTTTATGCCGGTAATTTAACTTTGACCCGTTATTTTTGTTGAAGATACAAAATGGCAAGGATCCAATGATCTACAGTATCAAGGTATCTATTTTGGTTTGAACACAAACGGACAAGCTCACATTCCTAGGACAATCATGGATTAAAATATTGGAAGTTCCAAAGAAAACCTTGCATAGAAGTATCATTTTGAACTGAATAAAGAAAATCCATTTACCAAAAAAACACAAACACAAGAATCTTGACATTACACACTGAGTTCAGCAACCCTAAGCAAAATTACATTTTCTCTTTTCACCAAATTCTTGCCAAACAATCCAATTATGACATTTGTTTTTCGCTTATTCAGGTAGATATAAAGATCTATAAGGCCCAGTATGCAATATATTAATCCTTCTACTTTACCAAATGGGGTAAATGCAAAGATAATTACTTTGTCAAGGTTAATTGCTGTAAGTTCCTCTCCAGAAATGCCCTTATGCTTAACAGCATGGGGAATTGATGTGTAATAGCATCCACGCCTGTGAGATCCCTCTGCTTCAGAGTTTGAAAACTTACTGTCCTTTAGCTGTTCCATCAGACGTCTCTCCATAACAGAAATAGGAACCCTGTCGATCAATCCAGACTCGTAGGCTATCATAATATCTCCACCAATGGGCTCTGTTAATTCATCCATTCAATATGTAAAATATCTGGATATCAAGGTTATCCAAGAAAAACATTGAAGCAATCTTGCAGTGACAAAAGGCACAAATAATTCAGGGAATAACCAAAAGCCTAATAAAAAATAACAAAACAAAGAAGAGAGATAGAATACAACAGAATGCAAAGGGAATAACAAAATGTAAGAACTTGAATGCACAGCAACTCAGAAACAACTTTCTGAAAGGATATCTTTCCTTTTGTGTGAAAATTGAACATTCAAATAATGTTATCACCAGCAAGCCTCTTTTGTTTGATAACAATACATAAATCATGAAGGTAATTATCAACTCTCTTCCAGTTTGTCCAATTACAGCAATTCCACTGAAGAAGTATAAAGAGTAGAGAATGGGATAAAGATCCCTGAATGCTTCTTAAAAGACCATATGGCACAATAACATCAAATAATTAAAAATCTTTAGCTACAATCAAGGTAGAGGTCAGAGATAAAATTGACCGATGAGTTACAACCAACTAGGACAATGACAAGTGAAAGAAAATCCTACCAACGCAAATGCACCATACAAAGACCAAAGAAGGTAACGTGCCTTTCACAGAAAATAGAATAGAGTGCCACTTATTGGAAGTTCAGGATTGGTAAATAGACTAAATAATAGTTTTCACCCTAAGTATCACAAGCAGTAGATAGATGCATCAAAGAAGATCACATCCATGAGCTACCCAGACTTGTACAGGAAATCTATACTTCAAGAATAAAACTCAAGATGAGTTATAAGACCAATAAACTAAAAACATCTAGCATGTCAAAAAACTATAAGCATATTTGATATCTCCAACATCTGCCTAAATTCCATAGAACATAGTCTTTCATGGTGCAAAAATTTTAAACGCAATGGTACATGGCTTCCATTAATATAAAAATTCTTCTTTGCACAAAATTTAATTTTGATATGGATGTGAAACCTAGTAGTTTATTTTCTGTGCAAAGAAATGAAGGTTGGCACAAAGAAAGTTTTTGTAAAAGAGATTGCAAATGATATGTCACCTTGTAACATATTAGACATTACCAACAAAAATAGGAAAACTATACATGATTCATGAGGATTTAAATAAAAGAATTATAAACAAACTCATTCCAACCTAATTATCCACAATTAAAGCCAATAAAACAACAGCATCCACAGCTAATATACAGTTTGTAAAACTTACCAATTCTCTCAATAATGTTCTGTGTAATGTAATTAGAAAGCTGCTTCCACTCTCCATGCCTGTCTAAAGCATAAGGCCCAAGGTGGGGATCGAATTCCAGACGTCTCACTGCTTCAGAGTACCTGCCTTCCTAAATAGAAGTCAAATTATAAGTGACAACTATCAAATTTCATTGTAAATACACTAATTCTACCATTGCATAAGAATGAAGAGTTTGACTTGGTAAAAGCTGCTTATCAATCCAAAATTTCAGTAAGTTCACATTGTTGGTCTTTGCAAAACAGTAATATGTTGACAAATATTTCCTGCCACAACAGATTATCACAGATATGTTCCAAATCAACTTGGCAAAAGATCTGAATGAATCCATGGCAACAAACTTCAGTAAGTTCAAATTGTTGGGACTACACAAAATACTAGTACATAAACCAGCTTCCTGCTAACAGATATTACGCAAGACATGTTCCAAACTTCAGACATCTAACTGTTACAACACACTGAACTATCAAATTACTGCAGCATCAGAATGGTCAGAACAGCATATATGTTCAACATAAGCAAAGACAGAATTACCATACCTCACAAACACACATTTTAAAATTTCAGTCTTAAGTACACCACATTTTAGATAATACAAGCAAATTCACCTATATAATACTTTTAATTAGTTATAAAACTCCAATCAATTAAGTGATATCTAAATTTTTGTAACTATCATATAAGACTTGTGATCATAAATGGCTACCTCATCTTCTGAAACTTTAATCAGCCGTTCCTCCTGATGATGCCACTTGCGCACAACTACCTGTCCGAAGCATAATAAGAACTTATAAATCCTATCAAGCACAAAAGCTATACTTCTAAAACAATTCAATAATTGATAGAACCACATGATTTAAATGCTATCTATATCGCTTTTTCCATTTAAAAAATATTACTTGCCACAATGATAACCAAGGTTGTAATTTGGTTTCTCAAAGTCAACAATGTTATTCTTGTGTATGCATATAAATTACAGCATGCATACACACAAACAAGATATGTAACAAGTTAACAGAGTCCTTGTGTGTCTGATACATGCTGCAGGAATGCAGTGAGAGATCCAAAATGGTAACCTTGAAAAATGAATTTCACGTTATGAGACTGTCATGTGCTACAAGTATCAAAATGTGAACACAATATTTTATCCAAAAAAACATTTTGATATTCTTGATCTGGTAAGAAAAGTGGCACATTCGAGAAAAAAACTCCAAAAGGCAATAAAAAATTCACTAAATATCACCCTTGGTGAAAGATCTCAAATTCTAGATTTATACCTACTAGTTCACAAAGATATCTATGTATGATTTTGCAAAGTCATATCAACAGATACCAATCAAACATAAAGAAATATTACATAGATGAATACCTCGGCAGGATGGGTCGTAAGGAAGAAGCCAACTGTCGGTGAAAATTCATTCCCCTCTCTGAATCAATCACAGTAAAGACAGTAAGACACCTAGCTTAAGTATCAGTTGAATCAAAATACTATGGTTTAACCTATACAGTTGCCAAAACTACAACAACAACACAGATACAAGAATTAAGCTATAATGACAAACAATCTTTCCATGCCAACTGGAATGTCGAATTGTGTGAATACAAAAGTCGACCAACTTTTGCCTATTTTGGCTGGCACAGTGGAAAGAACCAGCACAGCACAGTTGGAACAACATATCAACATGCTTCTGTATCATGAAATAACAATCTCTAGGAATAAACATTACATAAGCTTTCACAGAAAGTCAAGTATGTTACACCAAGCTTAATGAAGGTTCAACCAAGAGCTCAGTGAGGGGCAATCTCAATTCGTAATCACAGAACTATGAATGACTGATCCAGACACTATACCGAATTGGATCCAAAACAGTCTGACCCTAGTCAAATCAATTTAACCTCTTAAACACATTATTTAAGTCTTTGAAGTATCGAATCCATATAGAAACCCTGCCTGCCTTATGCCTCCATGGTTTTGTCATGGCAGATGTGGAAATGTGTGAACCAGGAGAAGAGGAGACCAAAGAAAAGGTTGTAGGTTGGAGAGGAACAGAAGGCAAATATTTTTTACATTGTTGCAATGTCGTTCAAATTGTTTCTGTTTTATGGTACTGCCAACATGATGATTTGTCATCCACGCGAGTTGTATAGTTTTTTGTTTTAGTACTCCTTTCAAGTGAAGAACTACCTAAGGACTAGGACAAGACACACAACCTAAGGTTTGACATCTTGTAAGACCAAAAAACTCATATTATTCTAATTGCTGGAATACACCAAAAATAGAATGTCCAAATGTGATTTGGCAAACTGCAAGATCAGAATGGATGTCTAATATTACAAAGACTATCCTCAAGAAAAGAGCAGTGGCAAGTGGCAACCAGCGCTGTTATGTCTCACCTCAACCGAAGGCAGTAATAAGATGCCAAAGAAAGGGCTTTCAATGTTCTAGATTCCGAAACCTGCATGTATGCATACATGGAAGAAGAGCCTTTGTTATTGATATAATGCTTGTATTATATGATTTAAGGTCAATGGTCACGTATAATTGCACTCACAATGATACTATTGTTTCAATTCAAAATTAATTTGATTTTAAATAAAAATTTCCCCTGTTTCCCACAGCACTGCACTGCCATGATCTTAATTGGTCTGTTAGTGCTTCATCTCTTTGTTCTCAGACAATCAGAGACTTCGACTAATCACCAAACATCTAAAAACCTTACATAGAGAAACTTGGTATTTCTAACACTATGAATACAAGCCAGTAGACTGAATGTCCAGTGTTTCAACAATAATAGAACCCTATAGCAAGTTTAACCATGTGGCACTCAGTAATTATTGCAACAATTGCAATCCAAAATTTTTCAGTCTCTCACCCATTAAGATTTACAGAATTACTACATGTATTATTCACTTGAATCCACTATTTGTTTTAATTTATCCTTAAAAGACCATCTCATCAGTCCTTAGGCATTAAAAACTTCAAAAAATAGCAATATAACTTGCCATCAGAATGAGCTGTTATAATATTTGAAATTTTGAAATATGAAAATATATTAAGGCAACTCCCTGATTCCAGACATTGAGGTATAGTTGTCCTTTTGTTTGGATTTTGGAATCAGCTAAAGCAACAAGACAACATATAATTGCAAAATTCTTGTAAATATTTCTTAGGTAGGTTATTCTGATTGTTGAAACTATGTCGTATATCAACCAAATTAACAAACTCAAATTCAACATACAGTGAGAAAAGTTATTCCATATTATTATCATTATAGTTGCACATTGCAAAGAACTTCCATATCAAGTTAATCATACATACATAAAAGAAGATGATGTTAGAAGATCACATCTTACTTGCTTGAGGGACTATAGTAAATGAAGTGTGTGCCCGGTGGGATCATCTTCATACCCTTAAACATCGGCCCCACAGAAAACATCTGGAAGAAATTACATCAAAGCTTAAAGATAGTTATGTCGACACAACAACAATATGCTGTAATGTTCCAACTATTTGTGGGCAATGAATCTTTTTCTGCCATAGAATTCTATACAAGACAATACCTTTAGTTAGGCCAATAGCATTCAGATTGTTTTGTATAGTTTCTACTTTCTAACAATTCTTTTGAAATATCCTTCTATCTCTTCTAACCTTGTTTAATCACAACATCTATATGTCTTTTTAAAACATATTCTTAATAATCTTATTCTTCCTAATGTTATCATTTATTTAGCTATGCCTAATTGTTTATGAATGAAATGAAGATTTTTGTTATCTATATTTCCAAGTAACTTCATACATTCACTTCAACTCATCTCAACTAATATTTTTTTGTACATATTTTTAATAAATTTCCCAATACTCAGATACATTGAGTATTGTTGATCAAACAATTGTTTTATATTTTTTTTCTAATCTAAGAGCATATGATGATCATACAAAACTCCAAATTCTCTTCTCCATTATATATACACTTATATATACATATATATGCATATACATATATACATACATACATATGTATATATATATGTGTGTATATATATATACACACACACACACAGAGGCTAAATTTGTCATGCATTTTGACGTCACATTTTAGTTGCATTAGTACTAATTATTGTTGTTGGCATGTTTATGATATTAGACATCCGTCAAATTTGATAAATTGCCACATTAGCCATGAAATCTGTATATGAAATTGCTTCACAAATAACTTTGTCACCTATGGCCTGGTTAAATTTCAAGTTTTGCAAGGACACCAAAGTAAAATTTCCAATTGTTGACACAGACATCAATGAACAAGTATTTTGCATTTAAAAGGTTAGTAAAACTCATGATGAATTAAATTTAGGATCTTGGTTGACATAGACAATTATAAAGTGTTTATTTTGTATAAAAAAGAATGGTTTGGACTCATTAGAATCTTAATTAATGATCTAAAACCTATTATGGTTGGATTTAATTTTTTTCTTAAATTTTAATGATTACTATTATTATTTAGTGACTAAAAATATCCGTGAGAAATTTTTATTTGATTTCATTATTGATTTTCTTAGAATAAAGGTAGGAATCTGAGTGCTACAAGTAAATGCAAACAAATAAAATAGATGCACTCGTTGTGTATAAATGTTAATTTTAAATAACACAAAATTGATCTTATTGGGCCAATCATCCCACACGTAACGTACAAGCAGATAGAAACTTCTTTCATGCCTTTGAGATATGTGTGCTAAACCCCCAACAAGTGGAGATTACATGACAACAAAAGGGCAGCAGACCACATGGTAAAATACTCGGATTTCTTGTTAACATAAATCATTATACAATGCAGTTTACGGCTAAAGTTTATTCGCAAGACGCGGGTATCAGTGCTTTCCATGACTCCAGAAACCCTAAAGGCTATCTTATTTCTTCTCGTCATGAAGTTTATGCGAATATGCACATCCAGGCGTCGAAAGGAGAGAAGCTTCTTGGAAGAAAAGAGAAAGAGATCTTTCTAGGGTTCGTGAAAAAAAGAAACGTAAAGGAGGAATTGGGAGAAAGAAATGAGAATAGGGAACAGGAAGAGGAGACCTGGGTGTCGATGCCGAAGAGAGTGAACTGAGGAACGTCGAGGAGAAGAAGTGTCGCCCCTTTCTTCACGAGATCGAGAGCGGCTTCTTGATCCATCTCAAGCACCAGGCTGGAGAACGCCGCTTGGAGAAGACGAGGAGTAGAACGACCACTCGGTTGGGCGTCGACGCTACGACCACGATCGGCGGTTGTTCTCGGAGGTTCAAGAAGATGTCTGATCACGTGTCGAGCACGTGAAACAGAGAGGACGTTCTTTTTTTTTTCTTTTTTCTTTTACCTTAAAACCCTTACTTTAATTTAACAAAAATGCCCCAAATCCTTCTACGAGTCCCTTCTCGGCACGCGACCGTCAGCTGCTCGGACCACGAGTCGCACCACCTGTCACCAGGGTTAGGACAACGTTGCTTTAAGATTCGTAATTCATTATTTCCATGTCCGAGGTTTGTTTGCATTGGGGAGTACCACCTTCGAGGGAGAAGACGATGTGAACCTGTCAGAGTGGGGATTATTCATCATTTGCCAAAAAATTAGAAGAAAAAAAATGCAGCATCACAAGCAAGATTCTCTTAGCATTTGCATCTCGAGGTCATAAACCCAAGCAAAAGACGATGAAATTGCACACCCAAACCAGTTTTTCGCAGGCAAACATGTCCATCACAACTTGAAATGACGATGGCTGGTCCAAACATGAATTCAACACCTCAACTGCACCTATATGGGTTCACCAGTCCCCATCTTGTAATCTTACTTTGCTTTCACTTGGAGGGAAACAATAGAAACGAACCCAAAAAAAGCCGCCACCAAAAGTTGCATCTCTCAAAGGCTTCTGCACTTTGACTCCATAAATCAAATTCATCGGTCTTCTGCAATATTATGTTCCGATGCAACCAGGCACTGCGACGGCTTCACCAAAATGGTAACTGTTGTGGAAAGTGATTACACACACGCACAAGCCAATTGCATAATGGTTGAGCAAACTGCAACACAAGAAAACTTGATCACTCTGCCACCAGTGGCATAAATTTCCATGGGTCAACCCTTGTCACTGTGGTAATAATTTCCAAACACGGACGCATGCATCTTCTCCTGCACTAACCAAACTGTTTTCGTCAATGAAAGCTAATCCATACACCCCTCCCAAGTGAGCCCCCTTAATTGTGATCCGGCTGGACGCAGGCTTATCTACCTCATAGACTATAACACTAGTGTCCAGTGAGCCAGTGGCAATCAAGTGGCTATCAGGAGACCAGGCCAGGCAATTTATGCGGGCAGTATGGTACAGCATGTTCTTTAGCTTCACCTAAAGATGCAAGGGATGATGAGAGTGTAAAGTGAAAAATTAGAACAATATAAAATTTTAGTTCTAAGACACCATGAAAAAAAAGATAAGGCACAATCAACATTTTCAATAATATGATAAATTTATTCATGGCTGGGAGGTTTTTCTTCTTTTCTTGCCTCATTTAAAGAGTATATATTATCAAAGTATAGATTAAACAGTTGGACAAGGATAATATAGGTTAACTTTTTTATGCTTATTCTGATTTGTGCTCTAGTTTAAAGATATATAGAAATCCACTCCACCAATCTTGTCCTTTTCAAATATAAACAAGTTTTACAAGATGTCTAACTCAGAAATGAAATATACAGGCAACAACACACCAGAAGCTAATAAGAGAATACAACTACTAGTATGTTCACAAGATAATATCATATAATACTAAAACAAAACAAAAAAAGTTAATTTGATTGTCCGTGAAATCTCTTGGTACTTGACCTGCAAGGCATGTGCAATACAGTATCACATAATCACAAACCCCATCCATGAGTCATTGGCATACAGCATGATGGTTCGTGATTTTCCTTTTCTTTAACTTGCTCAGACAATAGCAATTAAGAATTGAATTACTCAAAGTTTCGTTTGTACTAGTTGGTTAATATTCATGACCAACATTTTTCTTCAGATGGCTCAAGGAGCTAAAGAGAACCTATTTGTCAATACTAGCATATAATGATGTTATGGATCAGGATGTTTATTATATATACAGTTCAAATTGAAGTTGGAAACACACTGACCAAAGCAAGCAACTATAACTGGCTTATATTGCATATTTCAGAAAGATCAAGGCTTTCCATCCCACAGTAGACCTAGTTTGACACATTTTGACAAAGATCATGCCATATGTGATGTTCCAAATGTTGTATGTTACTGACACACATGGGGACAGCTGGAAAGGAAAGCAAATTGTAAATAAAACAGCCCCTGAAGAAACACCATTAGAGTGCTGAAATTGATAGCTGATCTCATTCATTTATATTCTTATTTAATACAAGCTTTTAGAAAATTTACCTAAACATTTTCTATTGTCTGCAAAAGCTTCTGTTGTTAACCCGATCAAAATGAACATATGGATCTTATAAGAAACAAAATTGTGTGTGGTACATTATTTTACCACAAGTTCTAACTTAACATTAGTTAACCCAGTAAGCGTTAATTAACTTCCTTTTACCAGTTTTCTAGTAGCAGTAATCATTATAGACAGCTAGTAAAATCAAGAGATGGTGGACAAAGCAAAACAAACACATCCCTCTTACCTTCATGCTCTAAACAGACAACACAGTACCAAGTTAAGAAGACATACCTCCCGAGATATCCGATCCCACACAACAGCTTCTCGATTGGCATCTGCTGAAGCAAACATGGAAGCATCGGGGGAGTAACATATAGCAGTAATAGTTCCTCGATGTTTCTCAAGGATTGCTTCCTCTGTAAGGGTGTCTCCATTAACACTATAAATGTGCAGTTTCCCATCTTGACCACCCACGATGACCTCATTTCCGTCAGGGGAAATTGCAGATGTTGTTACAGCATATCCTAGTTTTATCTGTGAAACTACTTTTGGACCTTGCAGCAAGACAACTCCTGAATCAGTAGAAACAATAGCTAGTTCAGGGGTCTGAGCTGCAACAGTTAAACCCATCGGCTGAGACCCAACATCAACTGGCTGTGAATCCCCACATTGATCCCCGTTAACAGGAACTCTCCAAACCTGTTTGAGACAGAAGAAAGAAATAAGATTTAGAGAATGACCATAATCATTAAACAGCTAAATGAAACTAGTTCTTGATTATCATTGCACAATGATACCAATACCACAACAATAACAACAAATTATAATGGGTATCAAATTGACGAGTGCTTTCTAAAAGAAATTTAACATGAAATTTAACAACAATAAGCCAAATCTTACCAGAGAAGATCAGATGGGAAATTTAACATGAAAGGGTATCAAGAAATCAGTTAGTCCCAATTTCCACTTGTTTGTTAAGTCACCTAGACAAGAATATGCAAATAATCTGTGTCGATTTTTTTGCAAACATGTGAAAGTTATATATCTTGTATGAAATATTTAGAATAGGCTTTAATGCCTTCTTATTTTAAAGCTATTTGAGTCTACTATGTAGATTAGGCTTGGTTGTATAAAGTTCGAAGAATCCCAAGAACCTTCCAATTATGGTAATAAATATATTTCTATATAATTTTTAATTGTTTGTATCGATGGAAAACATCAAATGCAGACAAAAAGCAAAGCAACCTCCCAAATTTAACCACACTAACCACTCACTGTCATGGAACTTCGTTATCACTGCTTAGTGCATGTAACTAGTAACTATTTCATTATCTTGTTCTACTAATGCCAATATTGATAAAAACACTCAAAACAGCAACAACAGTCAATCTGTAGGATTATTTTTGTGATCACATTGTCTTAACTGAAAGTGCCATCCAATTGAGTTCAATTGGAAACGAGAGTAAAGATATCGAATGAAGAAAATAAATGAAGCATAAGAATCATCAAGATGTGGACCCCAACTATGATCAAAGAACAAGCAAACTGACATTTCAAAGACCAAAATTAAGTCAAGTAAGCATATGACATCACAAAGGTCGTTAGCCTCTTTGTCCAAAGAATTTTAATGAATTTATGAAAAATAACTGATGAATCAATAGAAAAATAAGTGTCAAGTGTCAGCTCAACAGAAAAACTGACCATAAACTTAATTAGCCTGAAATCACATGACCCAAAATGCTCAAGCATGACTTAACGATAATAAGTCCATGTAGCCCTAGATAATCAGTTCCATCTTGTCACTTCAAATGTGGGACCAAATTGAAGTATGGCAATCTCTTCCACTTAAGACTTGACATCCTCATCAAGGTGCAAGGTCAAACATAATTGATAGGTTAGTAGGTGGCATATGACAACTAGTCTAACAGTGACTCATGTCGTGATATGCCTCCAGGCCTATCCACGAATAACGTTTTTTTCAACTCTACCCTCTCACAATACCTACTATAGATTTGATTTATTACCAAGTAGCATGACCCCAACTCAGATTCAGAAACTGCTCCACCAACTTGAGAGGCTTGAAATCATGTAACTAAAAAATATTTGAGGCCCGGATTTTAGTCAATATAATCAAGTGACATCCTCCCACTTCCATTGTGGGACTAAATTGGAGTATCACAATGTGTTCATTTAGATATATGTTTATCTCTTATAGACCTTATTATCTGTAAAGTGTTTTACAATTCTACCACTATCCGAAAGAATGTCATGAAAACAGTGGCTTTTATTAGTCATACCTCATTGATCATGATGATCAACAAATAGGAAATAGAATAACACCTTTGAATCTGTAGTTGGTTCTGGAATCACATGCACAAACAGCAGAGCTTGTGCAACTCAATAATTCTCAAAAATAACATGTAGCAAAATGAAGGCATAACTAGAGCTAAAGCCAATTTCAAAACTATAATGGAATAACATGCCAATAAGAACACTCACCTTATTGTCAAACCCTGAAGTAATGATTTCTTCTTCAGCTGCAGCAAAACATTTAATTTGGGTACTATCCTTTCTAACCAACTTACCAGCATAACCAATGCCTCGTATCCATCTTGTAATAATTCCATCATAACTGCTAGACAAGATGACATTCTGACCACTTTGAAGAAAAACCAAAGAGGTGATGCTTTTCATGTGTCCAGAAAAAGATACCGGTGACTTGTCTGGATCACTTGCTGAGAAAATTGTCATTGTTCCACCAAGAGAAACTGTGACAAGATGGTCATTTTGCCACAGACAACCGACAAGCATATCATCCACTCCCCCAGAGCCAGGACTAGCCAATGTTCTCC